TGAATTGTGGAGGAGCTTCTCAGTTCTTTGTGATTCTTCTCTGAAGTCTATGACTGCTCTTCATCATCTTCTTACTATGAAGACTTTTGCTTTTGGTGCTGTGATATGACACTTGATGTAGCCTGTGTTACTGAAAACTATCACTTTGCAGTGTCAGATGCAGAAGTGATCAACAAGGTAAAAAAGGAAAGACATGCATGTAAAAAGGACAATTTTTTAAAAAAAAAAGTTAAAAAGGAAATACCTGGACTGTGGGCCTGGCAGCTGTTAGGGAAGAATTGCCAAACGGGAAGAGGCTGGTGGAAGATCTTGTTGCATTCCTGATCTGCCAATCAATGGATATGGATATTATCTGCTGCCACATTTCCCAGAGCAAAGAATGATATAACTTGTTATTTTTCTAAGATGGTTGGTCTCTGCTCATTCTGATGAATTTCTGAATGTTTGTATAGAAGCTGTAGCTGTGTAAGTAAGTTTATGCATGGCAAGTCAAGCTCTGATGCTAATATTTACAGTGACAACTGCCAGCATCAGGAGAACTTGCAGTATTTGAGTGAGAGGGAACACAATGAAGTCCTGGTTCTGCTAAGCTGTGTTGTGGATTCAGGAATGGGCTCTGACATTTTCTTGCCTGTTAGCGGCACATAAAGGTCTGGATGTTATGTGTCATGCTTCTCATGTTAGCTCATTCTGTACAGTGTCCAAAGAAGGTATAAATGTTTCTCTGTATGCATATCTACACAGATACTTCAGCTTAGTCCAGCTTTCTGTTTGCTTGGTAAACGTCTGTTCCTGACATGATGGAGGTTGAGAGAACTTGAATAGAAAGTACAGTGGTGGCATGCCAGCTGTGGGAAAGCATGAAGCTGTAAAAGGGAACAATATACTTGCATTTGGTCTTTAACACAGATTTTGAGAAAGAAAATTGAAAGGAGTGGTTGTAGTGAGGGGAACAGGTTAGTGACCTGGGAACACACACAAAAATGGCTTTTCTGGGTATGAGGATATGGAGCTTTTAGAAAGGAAGGACTAAGTCAAAATATTTGGGCTTGGTTGCGAAATACTTAGATCTGCTACAGAGCCTGAAAAGTTCTTTGCATGTTGTCAGCTTATTTCAAATGACCCTAGTGGTGGGGTGGGAGAGCTGACTTGATCAAAGATACAGGTATCCTCAAGGAGGAAACTGTACTTATTTCAGGTAATTTGCAACCATGTTTGACACCTAAAACCTGTTGAAAATAGAAAGCAGAGGTTGCAAAATAGCCGAGAGCCTGAAGCAATCTATCCAAAAGCTAGGGCATCCAAGTCTTTGCAGTAGCCACCATAGTGACTGTTGTCTGTTAAAAATATCATTATCCTTCCCTTTTCAAAGCAGAGACCTACCAGATCAATACACATATTCAACTCACCAAGGAATGGGGAAAAAAAAAAGGTGTCTATAAATGCAGCAAACTGAGAAACAATGTAGTTCTTCCAGTTCACTTTTAGGGACTAAGTTAATAAAATAGTTAATATAATTTTCCTTTACAGTTGAGAGGGGTTGTTGGGGGCTGGAGGGAGTTTTCTGTGAACATGCTCGTCCTGTTCTCACTCTTCCCCAAGCACCTGCTTTTGTCCACTGTTGGAGACTGAGTACTGGGAAAGCTGGACCTTTGGCCTAGCCTGCATGGGTGTTCTTACAGCTCTTGCTAAAGCAGGTGGGGTCTGGTGACAAGTACTAGAGTGAATTAGACAGTGTTTTAGTATCAGCTGTGAAAAAGTTCCAGGTAGCATTTTCAGTGCTTGCTAACCTTTTTTTCTTCTAAATAAGAGATTTGTCTTTTGCCTTACAAAAATTACAGCTTTAGAGTGCTCTCTTATAGCTTTTGCTTGGTACAAAACCGTGTTTTCTTCAGGACAGCATGGGACAGTATCTGTCAGTGGCATTTGGTCTCTGGAAGCTGCAGATGATCCTGGTTTTTGTTGCTGCGTGGCTGCTTTCTGTGATATCAGCCTCATTCTGTACTTCTGTCTTCCCTAACTGGCTGCCTGAAGGTGCTGGGTATTCCACTGTATTGTGAAAGCAGGCAGCCAATATGTTTGTGACTTGAATGACTCTGATCTGAGTCATTCCTCCTATGACGGAGGGATAATCTGTAATCAAACTGCATGGGAACAAGAGGCATTCCCTATGTTCTGGTCTGTCCCTCTTGCTGTGTGTAATAGTTAACCCTTCATAGGAACTATGTGATTAGATTTCACTCATTTATCAAATCAGCAAATGTTACTGAAGAGCACAGCTCAACTTAGAGACTCTGTAAGTAGATGCACAGAGATCTGCAATAAAAGCTAATTCATTACTGTTTCTAATAAAGTTTTGGTCTGTGAAGGCTGTTGTTTAGGAGCCCAGCATGGATCCCATCTGTTTTCAGTATCCAGTCATACAAGTAGAACACTCAAATCTCCAGTAAAAATCTTAGCGGAGCCTAAGGAGCCTGAAATTTTTATTAGCAGTTTTTATTAGCACATTAGTAGGCTTGGGGTCTGACCTCTGCATGTGGTGATTATAGGCAGTGTGGATATAACAGGCTTTTTAAGTTGGAGAGACAGATCATAGGAAGTTTAGAGAGATTGCCTGCCTTTATAGCAATAAATGTGAGAAATACTATTTACCTTTCATTTGAGCATTCTAAGGGACTCTCCAAAGTGAAGGTTGAGGCTGGTTTATTGTGATTTTGGCATATGGGAGAAACACGGTTCAAAGAAGAGACTTGTGTGAGGCTTACTTAGTGATGGGTTTTTTTGGTTTATTTATAGTAAAATTCAGGAAAGTTCTGATAGTCATATGTTTTACTAAGAAAGTCACCACTTGTTTCGGGACATAAACCTCTTAGGTCCATGTGAAAATGTGTTCTTGGTAAGGAAAGGGGATAAATCAGACCAGCTGTGTCTTTTACCTAGTGCACAGGTGAATGGCCTGAGAATTTCTGAACAGTTTTGCCAGTAGATGTTTGAGCATGATGGTTACTGTGAGCAAAAGAATGACTTTAAAATGTTATATTACAATAAACCCAAGGTCTTTCTCTGATATTCACTACATATTAGTGAGATTAAGTATTGCATTATAAAGTTAACTCCTGTGAAGTGTTCATCAGTGCCCTGTGCTGTAGTGAGCATAATGACTGTAACTACCATCATTATAAAGTAACAAACTACTCTTCAGCATGACTGGAGCCACTTTTCTAAGGACAGGGCTGATCTCTCCATCTGTGTGTAGGAGCCAGGCACCTCCCTTGGCCTGTCCAATCCTACATGGGCAACGAGAGCCTTCTGGAAAAAGCGTGAGGGTTGTATGTCATGGGCATTAGTGTGCTCCCCACCATGTCCCAGTTAATTAACAAAGGATCACTTGCACAGCCTTTCCTGCACTGCTGCAGACAAGTTCCCACAGCTCCTTTTTGAGCTGATGACCCAGAGATGAAGGTTTATTTTTCACTACTAGTTCTCTGAATGTTCAACCTTCTAGGAGGCTGTGTTCTTTGGTGGATCTCAGGGAGTTTCATTGCTGTGCTTTGAGATGTGGCTGCTCCCATATCAGGGGCAGGAGGAACTGCCGCTTCACAGGTCTATGTGGTGTTCACCTGTAATCAAAGGGCTGGTTTTGGTGAGGGCATTGTCAAAACATTCGTTTACACTTAAATCCAACAAAGCTGTAAGTAGAGACTTTTCCTGTGAGGTGTTCATGGCCTTTTAGAGGTGTGTTTATCTTTTTAAAAACTCAATTTTTCCTCTCATTCCAGTCTGTTCTATGTTAACTCTGGAAGGGGTTTTCTTCCTACATTAACTTTCTATGGGATTTTTTTTGATTTTTTCAGTAGCCTTAGTAGTAAAACAACAGTGCCTTTAGTCTGCTTCTGTCTTGTGTGTAGTTCCTTGTTCAGCTTTTAAGTAAACATTGAATAAACTATATGTGCTGTTGCAGTCTTGAGTCTTTAATAACTGAATTTGGCAATAAGTCGGGTGTTTTTCATGCTGCAGGGACTTGGTTGCAGACAGCTGGTATGAAAGCTTTGTTTCACAAGGGGAGAGGTGGGGGAGCATCTCTTCTTTTAAAAAGCACTTAAGTCGCTTTCAGAATAAGATCTGTGAGATCTTGCAGTGTATTTATAGGCTTGTAATGTTGTGCAGAGAATGTTACACTATCCTCTGTGGCAGAAGTGCTGGTTTCGGATTTCTCTGCCTGTTGAGCATGGTAAACAGCTCTGGGTTCCTGTCGTGTGTGCTGCTCAGAGAGCTGTGCTGATCTGCCATGCTGATACGGTTTGTTTGGGTTTTTCAGAAGCTCTGCGTGTGAAAAGTCTTTGAACCATAATTTAGGTGCTTAAAACGAGTCCTAGATCATCACATCTTGATCAGTTTATTAATCTAAACTAAGGTCTTAACATTCAGAGGGATCCTGACATGTTCATAGCTCTCTGTACAAGAGGGTCCTTGCCAACAGTTGCTAACAGCCACCCTTTTAAATGAGAGGGAAGGTGCTCTGGACAACCATATCCATTCCTGACCATCTGTATCAGAAAATAGCTCTTTGCGATGAATATTCTGATTCTGAGAAGTTTGAGCAAAAGCCAGTGGCAGAAATAAAGTTTTAGGAAGAAGTGAAAAATTTCAAAACACTCTGAAACAAGCAAGTAGGATCAGTTCCCTTTATATTGCAGCTTTTCTAAAAATGACACTTTTCACCATGCATGAGAGAGAGCACAAGAAACACTTCAAAAACAAAGAAAACCACATGTACTGATCTGATGTGGATTTGTTGATATGTTTGTCAATACAACATGTTTTACAACATCATTGTAACAGTTGATAGCAGTAGGAAAGTTCTCTACCTCCTAGTAGAGATTTTGTAAGAAAAGATCAGAGTAGAACTGATCATGATGTCTTTGTTACACCACATGCAACATTGTTAGATAGATAATGTTTCCTCTGCCTCACCAAAATCTTCTAAACCTTGTTTGAGCATCAGGGAGACAAGATGAAGAGAAGGAAGTGATGGAGGGGAAGGGGTGCATTGAGTGCAGTGGCTGTATTCTAAAAAGGAAGCATGCAGTGGGGAGGGAGCTGGAAAGAAAACTGTTGGTAAAGATGATGCAGCAAAGAAGCTCTGGTAACTCTCAGCCCTCACTGCTGCTGATCGCAATGTTCGTTACTGGTGCACCGTTGCCTATTACAAAATCACAAGGTATATTAGAGCTGGTGTTTGTCTTCTGCTCCTTTCAGGCAAAGGATAGAGCATGTGTTCCCTAAATGAAAGTTCTCAAGCTGCTGGTGTTAAAAAAAAGTTTTGACAAATTTGTGAATGATGCTGGATACTAATTTTCTGGTCATTCTGGCCAAGAGCACAACACTGAGCTACACGACCCTTGCAATCCTAGCACCAGAGAGAAGGGGAATTGGAGAAGGGGCTTGGATTTGAAGTTTTGCATCTCTGGTAGATTAACTTCAGTACTTGGCCTGCAGCTTGCAGGCGAACAGCTGTCTAGCATTCTGTGAGTGGGTTTCATGCTTACTGCTTTAAATACAGAGATAACATGATCATTTTGTTACAACGAGTGAGTCCTTTAAAACACGAGGCATTAAACTACACTGCAGGAAACATTAAAAAGAATTACTGTAGGCAACCCTGCCAGCAACTCCTCTTCTTAAAGTTGCCCAGTAATTCCTACCATGTAACTGTGGTTTTGGTTGTTTAACTGTTTGAGCTGAACTTTCCCATATCTCAGCCTGTGTTTTTTTGATGAGCAGTTGTTCTAAGTGGTTCAGTCTGTTCTGCTAACGAAGCTGAAACAAAATGTATTTCCCATACTAAAAAAAAAAAAAAAAAAGAATAAATAAATAAATAAGTTCCAAAAATTTTTCAAAGATTGTATTACCCTAAGGATTGGAGCAGGGCCTTGAATTTTGGTGAGGGGGTGGCCTGTGTTTGAGTGGAGTGCTTTGTTCTGCAAAACTGTTTCTAAACTTGGTGAGATTATAATTTTCTGAGAAACTGGAGGTAGCAGCTAGTTGAAGCAGTGACTCTAGAGATGGTCAGTGTCAGCTGGAGGTCCATCTAGCATGGTGAGAGATCAGAGAAGGGAACTGGATGCACCTTTGCAAACAAACAGAGGCATGTCATCTCGCATTGGCTAGATCAGAGAAGTAGATAATGAAATGTTAATAAGTCTGTGTCTCAGGTTCCCACCTGCAAAATGAGAGTGAAAGCACCATAGAAAAGCTTGTGAGGAATTTGTTAAGATTAAATAATAATCTATAAACCAAGGTATGAGCACTGAAAAGCAAACAGCATGAGGGGCCGCTAATGAAAGTGCTAAATATTCCAGATGTGCTGCATACCATCTATTCTGTACAGGGAGGCTTAGGATGTGGACAGACTGCTTGTGATCCTATAATAAAGGCTTTTCATAACAAGAAATGTGCAAAGATACCTGTAGACTTGGATCTTGGCTGGGCTGCAGGTGACTTTGACCTTGACAAGACGCAGCTCTGCTTTGATAGAAAAATGTGAACAACTGAAAGAAACTATCTTGAAAAAAGGGAAATAAGAAAGCAGAAAAAGAGGGTGTCAGTGACTCAATCAGTGTGCATGGACAAAAGAAAGTAGCAAATAAGTATATTAGCTTGGGCACGTGAACAAGACACTAGAGCCAATAGAAAAGCTGTAACCAGCTCATGCATGATAAGAAAACATATAAATTAGCTGAAAGGATAGCAAGGGGGCGTCTGCCTGAGTAAAGAAAAAAAAAGAACTCTCTGACTCGTTATTCTGGCCGCTACAACTGATGACCCCGACATGATTTTGGACAAAATGAGGACCACGGATGCTGAGCGGTGGTAGCGGAGCCCAGCTGAACTCTACGGTTGGTGGAGATTGAGCCAAATAGTCCGGACAGCAAGTGGAGGCACCTGAAGAGGGTGAGCAGCTGGGGACTGACATGGGGGAGCAAATTTCTGCAGAGGAAAGGTCTATTTTACATATTTTGATAAGAATTCTGGAGAAGCAGGGAATCAAATATGAGGAAAAGGTGATACGCACTTTGCTTATTTGGTGCAAAAGGAATGGGGTCCCTGCTGATGCACAGTCTGCTTTTAATCTCGAAAAATGGAAAGAGGTAGGGAACACCTTATTCGAGGCGGCCACAAAGGGAGATACCATCGCTACAGATACCTACGTATAAATTCAGATGCTTCTTGCCTTTTGTAGTGATTGTCTATGCTACCATAGTTTTCCTTTTATGTAGGATTTAATTCAATATTAAACATACATTGGCGTTCACTTCCAACTGAGATTTGAACTCCTCTGTATAGAGTACATGCTAGATTTATAGTGTAGATTCAAGACTATGTTTAAACTACTAGTTCCTACCTCAAAGGAACATTTTTTTTTAAACTGAATACTTAAAAATTGTGATAATTTTCACTTTGTTTACTTTCCACGGCTACATCTAATCTGCTAGGAAAATAATTGAAAGATTGCGTCTCTTAATATTTTATGCCAAAATAAAAACTTTGCGTTGCAGTGTTTATTTCAATAAAAATCAGAACAATGTCCTGTGGAGCTTAGTTTTTAAATAATAAGCCTGCATTACTGCAAAAGTTTTTAACTCTCTTAATTGTAAGATTTTAAATTACTGGTGATATCTACAGTGATGTTTTCTTCAAAAGGAAGGTTTGAGGAGACCTGACATTTTTACCCACGCCGATATCTGACCAATAGATGTGTTCCTAGCAGACCCCAGAAATAGTTTAGAAAATCTATGTGTTTTGATGTTTATTTGTAAACAGAAAAAACTTTTGTCACAGAGATAAAAATATATTCTATGTTATCTTGAATTCTCTAGCCAAGTGGGAGAAAAGACTGCTTTCTTCTGTTTCATTGACCAAACACAAGTTGAGAAACAGCAGTGCCAAATAAAATGATAATGCAAGTGCAGGTCAGCTTAGTTCTTACAGTGTTACCTTTATACCATTTTCATACTGAACATATTAAAATATTTCATAAATTATTCTGTCGTGCACGGGTATGTTTAAATTGAAATATGTAAATCTAGTCCTTGCTAAAACTTGTTAGTAGCATTTCTAGTATAGGGCCTGTGGCTGGGGTCTGATAGGCTGGCGTTCTGTTCTCTCTTTGCCACTGACACTTTGTGGCCATGGGCAGCTGCTTCCCAGCCTGGTGTTTCATATTTGGGCAAATTAATGTGGTGGTAATTGCCTTTGACCCTAGATCTTAAAGCACTGTGTAAGTTCTGTGTGTCAGTGTCTTTTTTCATGACGGTATCTCTGATAGCTCTTTGATGAAGGTCTTGAGTTTTGACAGTTGAAGTATATGACATTTTATAAAGCTTTAATGTATAAAGTTACAGAGTATGTAACTTTTGTAGACAGGCAAAATTAAGTACAGCAGGGACCAAGGAGAGGTTTTGCTCAAGACTTAGTGATCGATGATGATGGTGAGGCCCATTTCTCAGCCTTTTGACTGAAATAATAGCGACATATGAAACTTGTATTTTCTTGCCATTTCAGTTCTGTAGTGAAGTGAGTCAATGTTGGACAAATGTCTGAAAAGCAGGAACGTTTCTAGAAATATCCTGTGATTTCTGACTGGAAATGAGAAACTGTCTAAAAATTCTGAGTCTTTAAATAGATACTGGCTGAAGGACACTATAGCCTCCAAGTCTCCCTGGTATTTGTACCGTTCTTTATGTTCCACTTCGCCCTGTGCTGTTTCAGTGCTCTTTTCACCCTTTCATAACTTGCATGAAACCTGCTTCTGTTGAAGGCATTTCTGCAGTGGTGCTTCCCAGCTGTCTGCAAGCCGCCTTCTTCATACAGCAGATCTTGGCCATGTTATGTTTGGCTAAAACTACAGCGCGAAACTCCTTTCCTTGATTGACGTAATGGTGGTATGAAAAGCTGTCAGTGTAAATGTGATAATACTCTCAAAACGTGAGTTTTTCAGCTGTTGCTTTTCTCTGAGGAGGCTGCAGTACATTGCCTTGCCAAAGCACAGGTCTGCTGGTGGAAGCCAGGGGAGCGCTCGGGGTGCCACAACACTTATCGGGTCCATTTGTGAGTCGCCAGCATTGACATTGTCTTTATCAAAGCAAGAGCCCAGACGCTGTGAACCTTCATTTACACAAATTAAGTTAATCTTCCAAACTTTACTGAAAATAATGTTCAATTTATAAAATAAATAAATTAAGGTTTATAGTGTGTTTGTTGGGGCAGGAATGTTTGCTTCTGGTATTTGTCTGATGTTTTACTTTCCTGTTCCTTTTCAGGAGGTGCATACCTCAGCCCTCCTATGTAAAATCAGTCTAGATAACATGTTCCTTTACAGGTGTTGCAATTCCAATTTGCCAGTGGATAACTTTGACTTTTGTTTTTTATTTTTCTTATGCTTCCTAATATATAATGCTCGTGATAGAGGAAAAATGTTTGACTGTTTTAGTATCTCTGTCTTCAAGATGGAAGTATTATTTTTAAAAGGAGATGAATCAATCAGTGGGGAAGGTTTGTTTGTATTAAAAGGTTTGATGTAAGTTGAGCACAAAGCTACCTACTGTTTTTTGTGAAGCATGGGCAATGTAACATCCCTCCACAAACCTGGAGACTGCTACTGCAGGAGGGTTTCAGGTAAGGAGGATGAACTAGGTAACCAAGAAAATGAGCTGCCCTAATACTTGCTTTTAAAATGAGCTCTGTCTGGGATTAGTATCCTAGGGCTGCAGCTGGGATTAATTTTGTAAGTATGAATAGTAAGATGCTAAAGCATGGCCTCCTCACAAGTCCTACACACATTCACTCAGTGTAGGAATGTTTTTGTTTCATTTGCCTGCCTCTTTGCTCCAGCACACAATGCATATAATCTGATTCTCTGAATGAACCTTTGTTTTGGGGAATACTGTTAGTTTTGGCTCTTGGAGAGCTGAGTTGACAGGCCCAACTCCCCAACAAAACAGATTGGAGATTAAAAAACAAACTAAAACCACGCCTTCAAAAAAAAATGCTGGGGAAAAGCCAAAAAGTTCCTTTTCTGTACTGCTGAAAAACATAATCTATTTAGCTACTGCAAAATCAGGGGTTTTTTTCCTATTGTTTAATTTAAGAGCCTCATTACCATCATCTTCAATGAAAGGAAAAATCTTAGTCTACATCAAAAGATTGCATGATCATGTACAGGAGGGAATCAAGGGAGGGAAAAAAGGCACAGAGAAAGTCGGTCTTGAGGTAGGAGTAAAAAAGAGGTCTTTTAGCACAAGGGCAGTGGGAATCTGTTAACTAAACAGGAAAATGCAGTACATTTCTCTAGCTTGTTCCTTTAAACTGAATTTACAAAATTCAGATTTGAAAATAAAATAATTTGCTTACAACTATAGTACACAAGACCCCTATGGTCTGTATAAGAAATGATTCCTACAGGTCTGCAGTAGCTGCATTTCAAGGTATCTTTGCTATGTTTTCTGAGAATATATATTTGGGGAGCAGGGTAAGGCCTGTGGAATCTGAGCCACGGCACTCAGAGTTTTATGTTTAAATTCCATGTGCGGTAGATCTAGACCAGGTGCTATCCAAGTGCAAAAGAAAAAAATAAGCTAGAGAGCCAACTCTAGCCAGAGATTTTCCTTATCCCTACATATCAAAACAAGTGAAAGATGAGAGGGTGGAAATGAAGATTTTTACATTCAGAGTACAGTGCTATGTAAAAAAAAAAAAACATGTCCCACTTCTAGTGCTGTCACTCACACACTTTGTAGCTGTGGGCATGTAATTCAGTCTCACTGTTTCCTTATTTTTAAGCAAGAGATCATGCATTTCTTGCCTCACAGGGTATTTGAAAGACCTTTTATTTTGTGCAGCATTTAGTTGACTACAATCACAAGATAGCTTGCCAGCTGAAATTCCTTGCTCAGCAACATTTACACGTCATGGTGTGGAGAATGAACTTAATTTTTTTCTGAATGGGGGAAGGGGATTTTTCAGACTGGTATTTACAGCAAAGTCTTTCCTATTGTCTTCTATTAGAAAAGAATTTTAAACATAATGCTATGGTACAGTTTTGACTGTTTCTGAGGTAGATAAAAATGGAGAACTGCAAGCTGAATCAGAAACAGTTTAATAAAGCATTTGAGCTGTATTAAAAAAAAAAAAAAAAAAGAGTTCTATTGTAGTATACTATACAGTTTCCATTGAATCAAACCACCTATTAAATGGAGGTTATGTAAGCTGATCAGACCAGCCTTTCTGAGATTGTCTTGTTTTGGGCGGAATTTATCTTAATATTTAAAACTCTCATTCTTTGCCCCTTCAGTGCTCTTTGTAGAAATCAGTGTTTCTTAAAATGCTAGTGCTTCGTAATGCTAGTTAGTAATGAAAAAACCCCCAGACTTCTGGGTTTGCACACAGATAAATGTCCATTTCTGTCCAAATCCAGAGTGTGGTTGTGTCACGAGGTTTTTATGATGACCGAAGTCCATCTTAAAATCCTCTGATTTAAGGGAGGAGAACAGGGGATTCTTCTGTTGTGAGTCATCTTATATCAGAGCTTGATCGTGCTTCTACTGATGTCAGCAGGAGTTTTTCCATTGAATTTATTGATTGAATGTTTTTTCAGTGTTGTAGAGAGCTACTGGTTTAAATTTGAAATCATCCTAACAGCTGTGAATGGCATCTCACATGTCCCATACCTGGTGTGGAAGAAGGTCACGTATTTACCTTGTCCCTACTTATTCAAACGCATCACTGAAATATCCTGTAAGATCATTCATTAACTGCTCTTCTAGGTTATATTTGTTAGCCGTACACTTAAAATGCTGTTCATTGCTAATCACCAGTGGAAAGCAACCCTTTAACATACAGTATTTAAAAAAACCTAAATCTACAGAGATGAGAATGGAAGAACCCTCCATAGGTGCTATTTGCCTGTGTGTGTCTGAAATGCTTTATTTTGGGTGTTATTAACATAGAAGAAAATTATGAGATTCTCAAAAGCAAAACTTTACATAAAAATGGACATTGCCAGGGTAAAATCTGTTCTGTGCCATGTTAGAATACATAGTTCCTCCCTAATTACATTTCAATGGATGGAAGAAAAATTTTAAAAATCAAATGTGTTTAAGGGAATCAAGTCACGCTATTACAATGGACATCTGTTTCTTGTACTTTGCTGCAAATCTTGTGATGTTTGGAAGTTTGTAATTGTTTTTAACGCAGCTGCTTTCACTGGAATATTAAAAATGGAGAGAGTTGTGTTACTCTGGCAGATCAGTGCTGTGTTATCTGTCTGCCTGCTTTGGTCTCAGTTGCCTGAGGTAGTTCCTGAACTGGAAAAAGTATGTAAAAAACTTGGGAATGGACTCCAGCCTCTCTTGGCATATCCAGGACTCATAGATGAAAGCTGCAGCATACGGAGGTGACAGCCTCGACTGTCTGCAGCTTCTCTTCTTGAAAACACTGCAGCTCCTCCAAAGCACATTGGGGCTCCCTGTGTCCAAGGGGAATTCCAGCTCTGTTGGCTGTTAAGCTGAAGCTTTTTTATTTGGTATGCTGTGATCAAATCACTTGAGGACAGTTGGTCTCAGGAGGTGGAGATTTTTACATGGGAGACTGAACTGAGCTGCTGGAATGTATTGCACGTTATCCACCAGATGGTTTTCAGCCACTTTGATTTGATCTGTGTTTGATAGTGATGAAGATATGAAAGTCACACGTTCCTCCAGCACTGCTTACAAGAGCTGGTGCATCCTGGGTAACACAGGCTGTGCTTTTGGCATCAATGACCCCTGCAGAATGCAACCGAGTGCCTAGTTCCCTCGAAGCTCCTCTCCTTGGGCACCGTCTGTGCAGCACCAGCATCCTCTAGGTCGTGCCGCTGGCTGGGGTGAGTGCAGCAGTCCCAGCTTGTACCATGCAGTGTTTGGTCCAAGCCTCCCTTGGGACGCTCTCCTCCTCCACTCTTTGGAACCAGCCCTCCTGCAGAGTTGCAGCAGCCGTTGTAGAAAGAGCGAGGACCACGTGTGCACTGATGTTTTATGCTTGCAGGTACATTGTGACCGTGACTGTCTAGCTGGTTGGCAGGTTTCTCTGCATTTCTTGTAGGAGTCGGCATGGTTTTAGGAGACAGGGAGCTGGTAGGAGCAGCAGCCAGTGGGTCTCTCCATTGATTTCTTTGTTGTTGTTTTGCTGCTTTAAAATCTGAAGATGGCTTTCAGTTAGGCAGCTGCTCTCAGTCACAGTGCTGTTCAAAGAAATTGACTTTCCATTGACGTTGGTATTTGGAATAGTGTCTAAATATTGTTGTCAGCTTCATGCTGATTCCTCTCCACTGAGGCTAAAGTCATTTCACTTATGACCTCAAGCTGGACTTGTGCTTTGCTCCCATGGGAACTAAAAATAATAATTATTTTAAGAATAGGTTCTTAATCACTTCCTTCTTTTGATGCACTATTTTTGTTTAACATTTTGTAAGAATGTAATAGAAAATGTTTTAAACTATTTGTACTTTAATTCCAGTTTTAGTTGGATCTTTGAAGATGCAAGAATTAATTACAGTTCCTTTTAGTTATTTTGTAAAAAAGCATTTGTCCTTGTTATTCTGAGTGAAGATTATTAGAGTTTTGTTGCTTTGGCAAACTGTCCAGTTGCACAGAGCTATGAAGAGATGAACATTAAGTTGACAGATTTCTTAGTCAAAGGCATGTGGGCGTTTTGTCAGTGTTGGTGATGCATCAGCATGTTAATCTCCTATCTCCGAACTGTTAATGTACATATGAGAAAGAGAAAAAGATGTGCTTTAATCTGAGTTTAGAAGTAATGATAAGACAAGGTATGCAGTGATTTGGAGGTAGAGTTGGCTGTGCAGTGAACACTGTGAAGGCGATGAGATAATTTGCAGAGATGGGGAAATATTAAACAAGTGGAGATCTACTGTCTGTCCTGACCCACAGCAGCTGCATAACAGTGAGATAAAATACTTAATTTGGAGATCTTTCCCTAAACTGAAAGTCTTGAAACACAGAAGTGGCGTTTTGAGAGATGTATTTCAGAGAGTGGCATATGGGTGTACTAGCAGATGCACAAAAAAATAATCTGGAAGGGCTTTCCTAGACTTCAGTGAGCATACAAAGTGTGGTTGTACTGGGTGTCTTAGAGCCAAGCTACAGAGAATAACACAAGTACATTAATAATTGTTTTTCTTATTCTTTGCTAATAGTTTACATGGTTTACTATTACTTCCAGTCAGTGAATTTGCTTGCTCCAGCAAGTCTATTTGCAAATTTTGTTTGTACTTTATTTCTTCTCAAGCACTCAAGTCCCAAAGGCTGCAGCAGAGCCTTACAGCATAGCCGAGGGGGCTCAGCACACAGCCTGAAGGGGCAGCTGGGCATGGACCGGGCTGAACATGGGACTCACAAGCTTGTCACTTTGCTCTCTTGCTGCTGTGAATTGTCATTTTAGTGCAGTTGTTATCTGGTCTCTGCACCCACTTCCCTGTGCATACAAAAGCATAACAGTTTACAGAGAGTGAGGAGGAAAAAAAAATAAATCTTTACTATTGGGCAACAGCTCAACTGATGGTGATTTAACCTATTGCTGCAGCTGGCATTAAATTGAGTAAAACTGAAAGAGCAGAGCTGGATTTTCTTTACCTGTAACTTGGCTGAGGTCTGGTGTTTGCTCATCTGTTACTATCGCGGCTGTGGGAATACCCAAGTGGTAACAGCAGTTGTGCTAGCAAGGGAGGAAAGAAATGATGAGCCAAATACTTGGAGAGAGGTAGTTTAGGATCCTACTACTGTCAGCTCTGGCATTCTGGCTTCATTTGTGTAGACTGTGAGGACTTTTTACTCATTTATAGTATTACAAGTTTTAATACAAGTTTTCTTTAAAAAGAGCTATCAGGAGGTTTTCCAGACCAAGTAGGAAACTGGGAATCAGCATTTCTCTAGCTTCAGGCTTGCCTCTGCATGGCCTTGGGTAAGCCAAGGGAAGTGCCTGGCACTTTTGTAGGATGTACTGTCTATTCTCACAGTGGTTTTAGAGCTTAAGTGTAAACCAGGGAATTTAAAGGAAGAATAATTCAGTTTTTTGAGTTCATTTGTACTGAATGTGTGATAATAAATATAGAGTGCCCTACCACAGGCCAGTTCTAGTACATCTTTCTCTAGTGCCACTGCAATTCATGGTAGAAGTCATTCCCGACTGACAGAGTGCTCAGTGATCTTTTCTGAGAGGCCAAAGTGTTTGGAGGTGACGTTGCTCCTGTCACTCATTTGTGTACTTTTTACTACAGAAGACCTCAGCCTCTTGACCTGATGCTCATAGTATTTCAAGATTAACTTGTTGCCTTTGTGTATGTTGTCATATTGATTGCAGTTTGTATTGCTGGTCCGCTTTTGTTGTAGCAAGGATATACAAACAGCATAAGGAGATATAAACTAGGAAGATACATGGCTAAAACCACAAAAATGAGAGGGAGAACCTGGGATAGGCACAATGCCTATACTTTAACCTGTGGCTTGAAATTTAGTACATTATGAATATTTCCTGCTTCCTCTGCTCTGTCAGTAGTAATGATTCATAAAGGTGTGATTTAAGGGCTAGGTAGCTTGTGTTTATACAGTGCTTACTAGAGCCCTTGTTGCTTTTTCCTTTTCCTTCCATCTCCCCCCACCTCCCAAGACTGTTCATACCTAAGCCATTTCTCTTTCTGGCCTTCCCTTTCCTTGGGCAAATTACTGTTTCTAGTCTGTTGGTTATCCTTTGTGCCAGCTGTGTTTACCAGCTCTGTAGAATTGCTGCGTGATGTTTTTTCTTGGGCCAGAACTGGCATTTCATTCTTCCTTTCCAGTGTTACCAATCTGAAAATCAAATGGAACTGTAGAAATGAACTTCTGTTGACTTCATCATGCTCCTCAGCAAAATCCAAGCCAAAACTTGATGTGGCCAAATGTGCAAAAACCTCTAGGCCAGGTTTTGGGCTTAATTTGGAGCAATCTTTTTTTTTTTTAGTTGATGGAAGCTCATAGGCTGACATTTGAGAAGGTGGGATACTGGCAAGGAGAAAAGTGTGGGTGAAATCAGTTTCGGTTCTGCTGAAGATACTTGTGAGACCAGTTGTGACAGTTGTTAGCAGGCAGATGAAAACGTGAAGGAGTCTTGAAAACTGAACTCGTCTCTAACACCTAGATCAGTAAGCCATGGACAGCATATGGCAAAAGTCCCTGGCCAAATGTGTCAGCTTGTACTTTTTTTGTTGACAGGTTGGCAGTTTTAGGGGGATGCTTTGTCTTGAGAGGAAGAGAAAAACTGAAAGCAGAATGATTTGTTGTCTGTTTTGTTTCAGTGGAAAGCTGGTTTCACCAAAATGGAAAAATTTTAAAGGCTTGAAACTCCAGTGGAGAGATAAAATCCGTCTCAATAACGCCATCTGGAGGGCATGGTACATGCAGTGTAAGTATCATAATTGTGTCACTTGCTATAAAATACTGTCTTAGACACACATGTAAGAAGCAAGAGAATTGAAATTACTGTCTAATAAAAAGCTCAAAAATCTGCTGAAGGCCCAGATGTCTTGGAGACTTATGGCAGTGCCCCTGGATCAGAGCTTTCTTAGAGATGTCTGCACAGGCTGTACTGAGCAGTTCAAGCACAGCCTGAGATCTCGTCATTTCCTCCTGGTTATCTGGAAGGAACCCTGGCTATATTTTTTTTTTAACATCTTGCCATTGAAATGACAGAGCTCTCTGCAGAGCCCGCACATGCTGAACATTTGCATTTTAATTCTTGTTTCAGACCTGGAGAAGTGCAAGAATCCAGTGTGCCACTTTGTGACTCCACTGGATGGCTCTGTTGATGTTGATGAACATCGTCGGCCAGAGGTATGTAAAACCTGAGGAACAGACTAATGAGCTCTAGAGTTTATAACAAGATTTTCTAGTCCACTAGATGTGAGAGCAGCATAGCAATTCTTTGTTGTTTTTATTTAGAAGGAACCATTAATACAAAGCAGATTGAAACAATTTTTGTAAGTTTATCACATCGGGATGATCAAGGTGCAACTGGAAGGACATTTATTATCTATGTAATTTATGTCCATGTCCTGATTTAGTGAAATATAAATCATAGAAATACAATCTGAATAGTTAAGATTTTGACAACCACCTCTCTCTTCTGGCTGGAGATTGCTGAAGTCAGTGGGAAATCAGTGACGACTGTGTTCAGGATTGAATCTAAGTGACCCTGTGAGAGTTTTCTGTATTTTATATAATTGATAAGGTATGGTTTCAAGACAGCAAGCAATTTCTTTTTCTCTGTCAAGGTAACTTCACAAAAAGAGCGAATATGAGTTTGCATACTTTCATTTTTGTGCTCTTGTAAACATAAATGAAAACTAATGTCTGCCCTCTGGCTCCTTGCAGAAAACCAGTGAGGCTCTTGATGTGGCAATATGTGACTCTCTCTATACTGCATAACTCTAGAATAATTTATAACTCAGAGGAATTCCAGATGAGTTTGTGGAACTGTCTCAGGTTTTTGCAAGAACAGTTTTGATGTTTGTGTTGAAAGATGACCCTCGAACACAAGAAAGTTGTGTTAAGGCTCTCATTAGTCTGTTGTCCCCAACTTATACACTGCTACCTGTGATACATTAAAGACCCACGTTGTTCTGGTCCTTTTCTTGCTGTTAGTATGTGGCCTGTAAGGTCACGTTTCTCCCTGAGCTGCACATCAGATTTCTGTTGCTTTGTGTCATTCTTAACAGCTTTTCTGTATGTGTGTGCATGTTCATGTAACATTGTGAAATTCTTTTTACCTGTTTTCTGCAGAATAAGGTGGCATATGCTTTATGCATTATATTTTAGTAAATTCATTTTAAAGAGGGTTTTTTTGCCATTTCTTCACTATTGGTTATGGTTGAGCTGATGTGGGAGATGCTGACAGTGCAGTCAGACATCATCTCTTGTTTGTTTATTGTGGGAAAAGTTAGTACTGCCAGATTTGCTCTGTGATAGCTGAACTCTGGGACAGTGTGGGCTGCTGATACATGAACTCAAACAGAATTAGCATGCTTTCTTTTGCATTTTTTATGCCTGAATATTTGCTTGGAAATTTATTGAACATTCAGCCATTATGTGATTCCGTGTAATTCGTGGTATGTGTTTGTGTTTTCAGGCCATTGCAACAGAAGGAAATTACTGGAAACGAAGAATTGAAATAGTCATCAGGGAATACCACAAATGGAGAACATACTTCAAGAAAAGGGTCTGTTGGATTACACAGTGAAAGTAGCTTGCTTGAACTTGATCAGTATGTTGCTGCTTTTTGAATTTTGATGTCACTTTTGCTAGCTTGGAAGAATACTTAAAACAAATGATAAGCTAGTGCAGGCATACTCATCTGATTAGTCCCACTTAACTAAAAATTATTATGCAGGGACTAATGGTGCATGATTGGGTCTCAGAAGTTTTGCAAAATCAGATCTTTTACTGACATATACAGGACCTATTCTTTAACATCTGCTTTGTTCTCGTTTTGCAGTTGCAGAAACATAAAGATGAGGATCTTTCAAGTTTGGTCAGGGTAGGTAATACCACTGATAAGCGGCATCATTTGTGCTTGTAGAAGCTGCAATAAGTAACAAAGCTGTAACATGCAGTAGCTCGCACTGATTAAAATCTAAAGATAAGCATCTTGCTTAAGCCTTAATTAAGGTTAGACACCTTAATATTTTCTGCGCCTTAGAGAGCAATGTAAGATTTGTAGCTTAAATTGGGTGGAGGGGAGGTTGAATGTAAAGTGCTGTGACAGCAGAAATAAGGATCAGTATTGGGTGCCCAGAAAGATCAATCTCTTTGAGGGCTGGCACATTATTTCATCTTATTACTGAGTTGTAACTGGCATTACTGGCTTGCTTGTGTAACTGGATCTGTGAAGTTGTGTGTTCTACATGTTTCAGATCTTCCTGCTGCCCACAGCATGGGCAAATAATGTGCCAGCATCCTAAAAAAGGCTGAATGTTTAAAGGAACAATGGTATCACCCTTTAGTACATCCCCTAAAACCATCAAACCTACTTTGGGCATATAAACTGATGTTCAGAAGCATTGTTCTGATTTTTTTTCTTTTTGAAGCTAAGCATAAGTTTGGATATATTCCAGTTTCACAAAACTCTCAGCTGTTTTGGCCATGAGCTCCAATGCACCATCATGGTATGTTGGTGCAGTTACAGCTGCATATTGGCTGAGCCACAAGAACCTGACTCTGTGCTTCTAGTCTGCAGCAAATGCAAGGCAGTGTAGTTTAGCTTAGCCTGTAGAGAAGGACAGGTAGGCCAAGTCACATTATGTTGTATTTTTCATGGGCTAAAAGTGCCCACAAGAATATTAGCATACCTTGTGCAAAGTCAGATTACAATTGCACTTAACTACATTTCAGAGATTCAAATACACTTCAGGATAGTTGTTTGCTCTGAATTTTTGTTGTGCATGTAATTTTTAAATCTTTATTCAAACCAAGGGATTGTTAAACTGTAGATGCAAAAATGTACATATCAATGAAACTAGAAAGTTTTGATGACATTATTTTGTTTTATGTCCTTCTAGTCAACATCTGGGGTTTTGGGGGCAAAAACATTACCCAGAGTCTCATGGTATTCTGAAGTTTTCTGTTGTTGCTCGAGTCAGTGAGCTGATCTATTCACTTCATTTGCATGACTCCTAAAGGAGAGTGTCTTTCTCTAAAAATGTGAAAAATTAAGACTGTTTCTATATATATGCACCAGACTGCTTTAACTCTGTCTAGGCAGCCTGACTTTTCTTCTTTTTCTTTGGCAGGATGATGATATGGTTCTCTGGCAAAAAAGAAGGTATGGCAGAGAAACCCCTGTCCCTATGGAGGAAGGCAGCCTCTTGGATGCAGATATGCTTATGTCCGAGTTCACCGACACGCTGTTCTCTACACTGTCTTCACATCAGCTCGTTTCCTGGCCAAATTCCAGGGACATAGGTATTTGTTAGCTGTTAGCTATGTTGCAGTGGGAACCTCTAGGAGAAGTCTGGCCTGTTGCTTTGCTGCTCTTTTACCTAAGAAATTTATCTTACTTTGCTGATACAGATAAAAATAAGTCAGACAACATAGCTGTCTTATGCTTTATAGGTTATGGAATACCAGTTGTTCATCCAAATTTAACTTCTGTCTTAACTTCTTACATGCTGCTCCTGGCATTGTCCTCTAATGTTGCTCTGACTAAATCTGTAATGAGTAGTATTTATATTTATCAGTGGTGAAGGCATTGTTATTTATCTCAAAGCTTATATGTGTGTGTATTTTTAAGGGAGTGCCTATATATTTTTCTTCAGATATGTTCCTTAGAACAAGTGCAAGTCACATCTTCCATGAAAACAATCCCAAGAGCTATACAGTTCTGTCAAATGCTCTCTGACTGAAAGCTCTGTCTAATGGGACAGCAGATGTCCACTGTGCATCGTCCTTGCTGCATGGATGTCTAAGTTGTCTGAGCAACTCCAGAGCAACTGTGGTTTACATGAAGTGTACTTGAGGCAAAATGAAATGGATGATCGTTTATTTTAAAACACCTTGCTATAAGCTGTGGTGGTTTGGATTGTGCTTCCCAACAAGTTTGTATTGTGCAGCAGGGGCAGGACAGGAGGTTTGGGAGCAGGAGACATCCAAGCTTGGCAGTGCCCAGTTGTTAGAGCCTTCAGGTTTCACCTCTTCCATATTACTACTTCAGAGTTTAATTCCTCAGTGGTTTAGATTTCAGAACTGTGCTATAGTTCTGAAGAAAAGCAGATGCTCAGTTTGTTTCAGCAGCAGTTTTTCTGTAAACATCCTGGCCAAACTTGGCTGTAGAGTGTGTGTTGGTCTTCTAGCCAAATGCTGTATTCCTACTGCTGTTACTGTGTGAGTGATGCGAAGCTAATCTAATCTGTCTCCTGAATTTTGCAGCACACTTAGGAAATGCTGACATGATTCAACCAGGGCTTATTCCTCTCCAGCCAAATTTTGATTTTATGGATACGTTTGAGCCTTTTCAGGGTAAGAATCATATATAGTCAATTAATTTATTTTAAATTGCAGTGATTTATTAACTAGTTTTTAAAAGATTGAACGTTGTAGATACTCTCTTTAGAAGGCAAGAGATATGAGTGAAGGGTGAAGAACACTTGATATATGTTTTCATTGTTTATTATTTCAAACAGATGCGTATGTGGGTAAACTCCCTTGTTACTGTGACCCCAGTCCTTTACTTACCTGGGTTTGAGAGTCATTTTGGGATTGTTTATTCCAAGGTTTGAACCTGGTTGTTAATTTGCCTATCAAAAGAATAGCATTTAGACCTTAAGTCATTGAGTAATTAGAGATAGAACATCAGAAGTGGACAGAACTCACAGAATCACTGAGGTTTTACTATTTCACACTCTTAGTGATAAAACGATTTAACACTTTGCTTGCCTTGGAACATTTTCTGGTACTTTCAAGAATTACATATAACATTAAACTGCTACTGACAACTTCGATTACGGATCTTCATGGGAGTCAAAAGTCACATCTGTTTGCTAGGCCCGCATGCGGTCTGCATGAGGTAGTAGAATTCTGTGGGACTGCATTGGGAATCAGCTCTTGGCTATCTGCATTTAGGTGTACCTCAAAAATCCCTAAAATCCCAATCAGTGAACTAATTTTTGTATTATCCTCAGCTTGCATGAAAGTTGAAGAAGTCTGCCCTAAAGAGATCAGTTCCTCTGGAAGAAAACAATTCATTGCTCAGTCAGCAGCAGTTTTATGAAGCAGAAATCTCATGGTTTCATTATTTGCTAAATAATACTGATAACCCTGTGAATTTTAGTATCTAGCAATGCTGTACCTTGAGTATGAAAAGTAGAAAATTAATAGATGACTTTTCATATTTCAGATTTATTCACACCTAGTCGTTCCAGTACTTATTTCCCTTCTGTGTCTGCAGTCAGCTCAGCTACAACAGACAGCAGCAGCCATTCTTCCCAGGTAAGAGAGGTTCTCAATGTTTAAAACAGGCTCATCTCAGACACGTATGTGCTATGACTCTCAGGCATGAGACATGTCCTTTCTCAGGAGTTCAGACACAAGTGTCAGGGGTCATGTCTGAATCTGTAATATTTTTTTTTTCTTTTCTGTCAGTCTCCTGTCCTGCCATCGGGTTCATTGCCTGACACACTTCCATCAGGGAACATCAGTGATGGACTGATTGCTTCCTCAGTACCCGCTCCTGTCATTCCTGATGTTGGCACTGACCAGTGTTCCAGCATTAGAAGTGGGGGATCTTTCATCCAGCCAGCGGACTTCACTCCTGACTCGTCTCTCAGTGGGCCACAAACTTTTATGCCAGTGTTTCAGACACCCTTGCCACTGCTTCAACCTGCAGCACAACAGCACCAGTCCCCGTTGCCTGCAGTGCCTCTGAATTCTAGCTTAAGCTCTCCACCAGCTGCATTTGCTGCACCAGAAACCCAGAAGTTTGGCCTCTGTGAATCTACAGTTATCACCCACACAGCGTCTGCTACATTGACGCACAATGCCCCTGCCACCACCTTCAGCCAGAGCCAGAACCTTGTCCTGGCAACGCAGCAGCCAGGTGCTGGAGTGCCTTGTAACATGGCTTTCCAGACTACTGTCCTGCAGGGGCAGCCCCGGCCCCAGCTGCAGTCCCAACTGACATTTGCACTCCTCAAAGCTGTTCCTCTGACCAGTACTGAGACAAGGCCCAAACAGTCACAAAAAATAGTGCCTGCTCCGAAGCCTGAACCAGTGTCCTTATTGTTAAAGAATGCCTTCGTCACCCCAGGTGAGAAGCACTGGTGAGGTGATGTTTTTCTTTTCTGAGTGGGACTAGCAGGAGGGAGAGACTTTTTTACTTTCCTTGGTTTACATAAGTAAAAATATAGCTTCCTGAGGGTGTCCAAGGAACCCCTGAATCCATTGGTGTGTGGATACACTGTTCAATGGGATGCTCTGGACTGCTGAGAGGATTGGAAGCAGTTTGGTTGAGTTTGAAAAGCTGACCTGTGGAAGGGTGTATCTCCTTGTAAAATTTTTGCTGAGCTGCATAGAAGCATCAGCATGTGGTATGACTAGAGCTCTGTGCTTCTGTCCCATAGAAACCTTGGTTTTGATGTTTAATTCTGTTCTGATTAACTCTGCACCTTGGAGCAGAGTCAGAGCTGGTAGGGAGATGGTGTGGGATGGAGAATGGCAGATCTGTCCCTGTCATTGACTCATCTGGTTGCCCTGGACAAGTCACTATGCCTGCCTGTGCATCATCATGCTCTGTAATACCAGGGTGTACTGGTGTACATCGTTTGGTAGTACTTTGGATGTATTCTGACATTCGTCTTGGGTGTGCCTGAAACTCTTTGAAACCAAGTACAGTGTTTGCTAAGGAGCAGCTGTTGAACTGGACCACAGCCGTGGTCCAGGTGGAAGCATGGAACCGTGCCTCTCATCCACTATCAGTGTTCCCTAGCAGGACCTGGGTGATGAGAATCAGTCCTTCCAGTGGAGAAGAACTAAGAACAGGCAGGGGGAGCTGGAGATCTTTGTCTCAAGCAATCTAGAGACAGTCTCTTGAGATGCTGTCAGGAGCACGTGGTTTTCAGTTCAGCGTATGAGTGCCTAACTGATACACTGGGACCTCCATTTTGGGTGTGATCTGGAGCCACTGGCACTACATGAGGCTAAGAATAGCAAGAGTGAGTAGAGAGAGTTTTGCTTGTGGTGGTTCTTGTGGGAAAGCTCAAGGCTAGAGCAAGACAGGTGGTATACTTTTTCCTGGGATTATTGCACACTGTTTTCAGACCTGGGCTGGCTGGGGGCCAGATGACTTCAGACACCTGAAATGTGCAGCTATAATCCAAGAAAAACGCTGCCCGGAGGAATATTGTTAAGCAGGCTTTACTAAGGAGTAGGTGTGTCTGCCAGGGCCTGGCATTGTGGTTACCCACCAAAAAAAAAAAAAAAAAAAAATTCACTGTGCAGGAGTAGAACAGACCCAAGAATCTTACTTAATTCTAGCATGTTACTGGGAATAAGTTGGTCCATGATTAATAGCACTAGGGTGTTAGTGGCAGTGTTTCTGTTTGTAGTACATTATAAAGCAAGAGTCCATGTACCTTCAGCAGTTGAGTCATGCATTTCTCACCTAGTAGAGCATTGTAGACAACTCATTTTCTGAAAGCCTTTGCTCCTAGCTTTCTTAGTGCTTCTTGGGTTGTTCCTCACCCCATATATCACTTTCCCAATCCTTCAGTTACTTCTGGACCATCACAACACATGGCTTTGCTTCTCATCTAGATTTCAAGTTGTTGCTGTTTTTCATTCCTGGCAGTGCCATATGTTCAGGGATCACAGTGCTCCAAAATTACTGGGACACCAAGCTCAGAGGTCAAATGCAAGGTTTTGTATAGAGACTAGAGCTTTAGTTTTGGCAATAGAATAAACATCAGTACTTGTAACCGAGGCATTTATGCCTGTCATTTGTGTTCAGGACAAACAAATCATCTCACAACTATAAAACAAATTACATTATAACCTATGTTAGAAAGGGATGTGTAACATTTACTGCCTTGTGATATAAAGAGTCAAAAATCTGCACATTGTCTCATCACATGCAAGACTTCACATGGAAAAGAACTCTGCTATCACCACTTCAGGATGAATGTTCTGATTTTGAGAGAAATGTCTGCAAAAGAAGCACATGTAGAATAGAAACATGAAAAATCTAAAGGGGCATCTAAATATCTGCTGATTGTTACAGTTACCCAAATGTGAAAGTCAGAAATACCAAGTTTGTGCAGCAGCAGCAGCAGCAATGCGCTGGTAAGAATTGGCTCTTTGGCTCAGTAGAGATGTCATAAGTCCAGCTGAACATTAATGAACAGTGGAAGGGTTGCAATTCCAGCTTTATATGTGTGAATGCTTAGACAAAGAAGGAATTGCCTGTATCAGAGTGACGGTGCTGTCTGCCAGATACATCCGTGCAAGGGCTGACACAAGGTTTGTGCAGTACACGGGCCTTTCTAGTAAAGGCTGTACAGAAGTTAGAGTTGCTTCAAAACACAGTTGTTAGTCACAGATGACACAGCAGGGGAGAGGACATTAGATATCCTGCACGGTCTCCTTGTTCTGCTGTGTGTGTCCTTCGGTATCCTGGTGCTAAACTGCAGAGAGGTGTGTTGGCAGTGACTGAACTATTGTGACACTTTTCATAAATCGTGACTTTATTAGTACTGTTAAGAAATACTAGTCATTTAGCTTAAATAAGTTTTAAATAGAACAAATCGCTCAGAGTCAATCATTTAGCATTAGGATGCAGGGGTTACAGCATAATGTTGTGTGATTTGGTATACTGTTTGTTTAGAATTACTTACTTAGCATGAGTAGCTAGATTTGCTGAAGCCTTAGGCCACAAGCTGTGAACTTCCATTTAGGTATGCTGAACTTTAATGTAGTTGGGCAAAAGGAGGCCTTCAGAGCCAGTGCAAACCAGAAGATAAGGAGGCTACAACTGTCAGCAGAAGCTGCAACTTGACAAGATAAGAACAGTTAACAGCCTGCCTAGAGACAGAGAGGGAATCCAATAAGGTGTTAAAAGATCCTAGACCAGAAATCACCATTGGACAAAAAGGCGTGTGAAGAGCACGTGAGGGTCGAGTGCATAGATTGGAAGGGTGCAATTGCCCAGGGGTTTCTTTGTTCAGGGTCCCACTTCAGAGGTACCCAGGTCGAGCTGTTCCTACTGCTGTACCACTCATATTATTTTTTTTTTAATAGAATCTGATATCTGAGACTTTGCTGTGGGAAACCTGGGGTCCAAACTGTGGGGATAGTACCGTCCAAATAAGTGTGTGTGTGTGTGTGTGAAGGAGTCAGCTGGGGTGTCTGTCAGTTCACTGGAACCACCCTCTGTGAAAGGACTTGGGTCTTAGCAGTAAAGTCTGGGGTGGTGTGAATGTGACTCCCTGAGTCTGAACGGAACACCTAGATGGTGTGAATTAACAGTACAAAGGAGAGCTGAAGCCAGTACAGGCTAGAATGAAACAGAGTAAGTTTGGTTTAGTTTTTTCAAAAAGCATACAAATCTGTGTCTTTGCATGATTCTTCCCTTAGTAACAAGTCAGAATGGTTAGTCATGTTCTCTCTCACATCTGGGCAAGAACAATGTGTGCATTAATGCCATGTTAGTAACTGTACATCAGCATTGGTTAAATTGATGGCTTAACAGATTTATGTTAGAGTTGAATACTATAGTTGTGAAAAAGCTTTAGAGCAAGGATCCTGATTCCTGTCATGGGGGCACGCTTCCTGTGCAGACTTTTTTTGAGAATTTTTTGTAACTTTCTCTGTGGAGACAATTGCTGCTATTCACAATTATTTCTAGCTGTCTAACACTGCAGAACTCCCGGTTCTTTAGACTATTTTCTGGAATTTTGGTGCTGATTCCCAATGACATTTGGTTGTCTTGTGCCTGTGTGTCATGTGAAGCATCTCTAAAAGCAGATAGTGAAAGAAGCTAGTAGAGTGAAGTGGCGAGAAAGACAATTTAATACATATACAAGGAAGCATGAAGTATTGAATACGCATCCTTCAGTTAGTTTCTGTCATTGACCCTTTTGGGGTCAGTAGAGCAAGCCTGAGATCCAAGAAGTATGGATGTGAGAGGAGAAGTGAAGGTGATCTTCCTTCTGTGAAACCCAGCTCTGATAGAATGAAGACACTTTGCACCTCCCTGATTTACTAGGTACCTCTGTAAATTCACCTTGAAACAGTGATGCTAGAAGCCTCAGAAATAACTGGTGTGTTAAAGTCCTTTGTACGGGGTTAATGGGACTGAGATTATCAGAAAACTGGTGGCACTTTGTATTGCAATGAAATAGTACCAAGTAGGTGCCTGTTAATCCATTCCCCTGTTCAATGACAAAATATTTCATACTAAATAATCTCCATCTTTCTTTTTGTCTCATTAACTATTCTAACTTAATTGTGTTCTTCAGTTGCCTTTCAGGGACAGTCCAGAGCTGTGATTGTAACTCCAGCACCTTTAAAAAGAGAGGAGATTTTGACGCCAGCCACGTCTCAGTCTAATGTTGCAATTGCACCAGCTGGAATTGTCAGAGTAAGGAGAAGAAAAAAAAAATCTGTTTTCTAGGCCTGTTATTTGCAAGTAGTTAGAGCCATAACGTGCTCAGGAGGGTAACTGGTCCACTAGATCTCACCTGTTACCCAGCATATGCATTTTTGCATTCAGCATTATGATTGCTTATCTTTAATTTAGCTACTTAATGGGCCTGGAAGCACTATGTAGTCTTCACAGACTCTGTCTCACACAACATTAAGATTACAGAGAGGCATGCATACGCAGTACTGTAAATGGGGGATGGTTTGTGCAGCTTCTTAATTGTGCAGAAGCTAGAATGAACCCAGGATGTTCAGCTTTCCATTTACATATTGGAAAGCATGCTTTGAGTATACGAGTGGGTTTCCCAGGATGTATGCAGGAAGATGGAAATAGATTTTAGTATATTATGATGTTGATGTGTTGTAATACTGCTTTTAGTTATGAGAGGATACTGGTCTCCTGCCAGAAGTCTGACTTCAGTGCCTGCCAATTCCTTATAATTTAGCTCTTGTTTCATGTCATCAGATTGTTAATCATGTATTAATTTGCTACTTGTAGTGAAAGGCAAGGTAACAAATCCCTCTCTTTCTTTCTCTCTCTCTACCCCCCTCTCCTTTCTCTTATCCCTTCCCTTTCCTCATCCCTCCCCTTCCTGCTCTCTTTTTCTTTCTCTCTGTTTTTCTCTGTGCTATTTCTATGTTGTTCCCAGGCTCCCGGGGTGACGGAGTTCCGTAGTAACATTCTGGTTGGTCCAGCACAGCGAGCACCAAGTAGTCAACAAACCCAGTCCACAGTCTCACATCTCTTCTCTCCTAGTGTAGTCCAGGATGTGTTGGTGAAAGGAGAGCAAATCTCTTCCCACAGTAGCAGTTCACAAGTCCCCTCACCTACACCTAGTAAGTTAGAAAGCTGTAAGCATTCTCTCTCCCCTACACATGTAACTGTGTTTCCATTGGTTAGGGTGTAAATGGGCCTCGAGGATCCTTGGATAATTTCTGAAGGAAAAGCTTTTTAGGTCCTTCTACTGTGCAGCTTCAGTTGCATCCAGTTGTTTGCATATTTTGTCTTAAACTACTGTGCAGTGTTCCCACAAACTGCGATTTTGTGTTTCCTTTAAGTGGCTCCTTTCTAAAAGGATTTACTGTCAGTCACCAGGAAATTAAACCCCTTTGAAAGGCATCTGTGTAGAAAGTGCTGAGTAGGTTTGTTGTTCAGTATCATAACTATAATTTTGATTGGAGCATCTCAGACACTGTCCTTGTTAACAGTAGGTAAGTGCAAAGACCACTTTTGCATGTGTGTTGATAGAGCAGTATCTGGGCTAGTTTGAGACATATGCTGGTTTTGCTGGTAAATGGCTTGTAAGTGTTATCATCATGTCCCAGGCCATTAGAGCCTCAAATGGGGGAGTCTAGCAGGACAATGGAATTGCAGTATACGTGTTCAACATGCCTTTGCTGTAATGTGTGGGTGTGAAATGGGTATTACATATTGCTATTGAGGATGTATGTCGGTAGAGATAAGATGGAAATGAATACTAGGCCTTGGAGCAGGACCCTCAGCCTGAACACAAGTACTGTGGAGCTCCTACCAAGTTGACCTGGGTAGAAGTAAACAGGATAAGGAGGGAGAGAGAGCCCCAGACACGGGCAAGATGAGCAGGATGTCCCAAGATATGGAGGAGGCAAGAAGTATGCAAGGACTGATAAGAAGAAAGCAAGAAGCATGCAAGGACTGCATGATCAATGCGTAAACACCCCATGTAAGGACATTAAGGGAGTACGCTAAATGTTAGGCAATGGAGTGCTGTTACACTGATAGAAAAATACTGTAACTTTCGAAACGTAAATAAGCAGCCCGCTTGCTGAAATAAAGTGTCTCAGCATCACCCATGATTTGAGTCCCTGCCATTAGTTGCCACAGATGACGCTCAAAACAGGGACATGAATAGGCGATCCAGTGGTCGTCCCGGTGGCGTCACTCAGCTGAACTTGGAGAGCTGAAAGGAATCTCCAGGCACACCTCACAGACCTTTTCTGCAGGACAGAAGGTAAGCAGCCAAAAAGGATGGGGAATTTTCTGTCGCCAGAGCACAGGGATGTTCTTGACCTGATGGAGTGAATTCTAAAGCAACACAGTCAAGATTTAGACAGCAATCACCTTAAAAGACTGCTACTCTGAGTTTGAGATCACGACCTACTTTTAAACAGCACTAACATCTTTGATCGCAAAAGATGGGATGATCAGGGGTCAAGCTTTGGGACTGGGCTACCCGGGGAGAGGGAATTTCTTCCAGGCTCTTGGCTGCTTGGTGGATTGTGTTTGAAGCATTAATGTCCCATGTCGCGCATGGTGACTTACAGGATGATGGGATGGAACTGTTGTCCACCACAACAGATTCATTGGAACCGTTAACCCCAACTGCTCTGCCAGCGAAAGTGGAGCAAGAGATTTCCAGAAAACCATATCTGGTGGGGGCTGTTGGAGGCGACCCTGATACGGATCCCTGGGACCTGGAGCATTTTGACCCAGAGAAGGAACCAGACCTGTACCCTCCTGATCCACATGATAAATGTGTTGTGGCACGCAGACAAGCTGCAGAGCAGGGGGATTTCAATATGTTGAAAACGTTCCCTGTTATATATCCTCCTAACCAACAACCTAAGTGGGAGGCTATGTCCTACTCTATCCTTAAAGAACTTCATCTCTCAGTACAGGACAGTGGTCTGGAGGCCCCTTTCACAATCGCCATTCTAGAAAGTACAATAGATTCCTATAACCTGGTCCCTCATGGTTACAAAGCAATAGCTAAATTAATATGTACGGGGATGCAATTCATGATGTGGATGTCGGAATGGCGGGAGGCATGCTTAGCACAGGCAGTAGAAAATTTGTCGTGTCCACTGGGACACCGACTTCAGTGTATTACTGTAGAAATGTTAATGGGTGAAGGTGCTTATGCCACTACAGCTTCTCAAGCTCAATTGCCCCTTGACCCAATAAACCAATCCAAGACCTTGGTGATGAAAGCCTTTCATAAAGTCCCTGACGCTGGAACCATGCAGACCTCCTTTGTAAATATCTGACAAGAAGCCACAGAGACTTTCATGAAGTTTTTAGATGAGCTCAAAGCTAGTCTGGACAAAAAAGCAACTCCACAGCCCATGATTTGATATTTAAGTATCTTGCAATAGAAAATGCGAACCCAGACTGTCAAAAGGTGTTAAGAGCATTAAAGGCACCCACAGTCACAGAAATTATATGAGCCTGCTAAGGTATAAGGTTGGAGAGTCATTGAACTATATATTGATGACTGAGGCGTTTGCAGCCATGAATATGTGCCCTGATTCTGGCATTTTTTTTCAGTTGTAGTCAGTTGATACACTTGTGACAAGAATGCCCAAAACCAAAAAAGGGGGCTGACACCGGACCAGGTATTAGTCCCCGATGCCGAAAAGGATGACATTATGCTAAGCAATGCTGATCCAGGTTTACAAAGGAGGGGCAACCCCTCCCAGCATGGTCTAGCCAGCCTCAAGGAAACTTGTCACAGAGCACGACGGGGGGTTGCACCCTGACACCAAATCACCCTCCTGCCCAGCGCTCATTCCAGCAAGTGAACTTCATGCCAGAACAACAGGCAGCACTGGAGTGGACCTGGCTGCCGCAGTCACAGTAGATCTAGTGTCCAGAGCAGTGCATCTTATTCTCACACATGTTTGCGGATCCCTTGGAAACGGATGCAGTGCATTGTTAATAGGAAGATATCCACAACTCAAGGCAAGGCTTATTGATCCTCCCTGGATTGATTGACTCAGATTATAAAGGGGAGATAAAAATAATGGCATGGACCCCTACTCCACCCTGTCGCGTCCCAATGGGAGCAAAAATTGTGCAACTTGTGTATTTCCATGCTCATCCGCCTGGACATTTGAATCAAGAAAGGGGGGAGAGGGCATTCGGATCCACTGGGGAACTTCAAATCATGTGTGCTCAGCCTCTCACACATAGCCGTCCTTCCTTGAAATGTGGACTAATCCACAGTTGTTTGTCTGCAAAAATTGCTTGAACAGATTTGATGAACAGGCGTGCTGATGTGACAGTAATCGCACAATCTGCCTGGCCATCTAACTGGCCATTGATGCAGTCAACTGACGCCCTAGGGGGGGTGGGCGGCTTGACCACCCCAAAACAGAGTGCCAACCTTATTATTATCGAGGGCCGTACTGCATCCGTCAAACCGTATGTACTACCACTTCCCATCACACTTTGGGGAAGAGACTGTCTTGCTTCTTGGGGTATTGTCATGGGGACAAATTTGTCATAGGGGCTGCTTAAAGGCAGCGAGTCCTGGCCCTAACACGGACAACGGATAATCCTGTATGGGTAAATCAGTGGCCCCTATCTTGGAACAAGCTGCAACATTTGCATCAATTGGTACAAGAACAGTTGCAAGCCGGACATATTGTTCCTACTACCAGCCTTGGGAACTCCTCTGTGTTTGTTATCCAAAAGGAAAATGGGACGTGGCGTTTATTACATGATCTTCGTAAGATCAATGAGAAACTGGGCCAAGATAGGTTCCTGCAAAATGGATAAAACCAGACCTGTCTCAGTCATCCTTGCCATCGTGATCGGACAGGGGTGTGGGATCTAGCTTCTTCCACAACCAAAACAAAACATCTGGGTAACTCTAGCAAATCCAGCTGGCCAAGACACTCTGTGTTTGTCAACAACACCACCAACCAATCCGTTTTCCACATGTCTAGTGGGAGTGCCCTTAGACCAATGGCCCATTGACCAAATGCTAAAGAGCATTTATCCCAACATTATCGCTCGGACAAATGGTTGGGATGGTTGGACTCCATATTTACCTTCCTTACATTATTAACTGCAAGAGTTAGAGTTGTTAGGCTCTATAAAAATGGATGGTTGTATAATGTTTAATTACAGCAGAAAAAATCAATCGTTTGTTCAAAATGTAAATTCATCTTTAGCAATATATAGAAACACTGGTGTATAGTTTAATTATACATCAAGCAATGTTTCACACTCCACCAATACGCCGTTAACCTTACCCACGGGGATGTTTCTTATTTGTGGAGATAGAGCTTGGCCTGGAATTCTGCCTCCTTTAAGGGGAGGACCTTGTAGCTTAGGAAGATTGACCTTGTTGACACCGAATATAACGATGATACTAAATTTTACCAATTCACAGCATTATAGAAGTAAGCGTGCAGCACACACATTCCAAAAAGACTGTGATGATCATGTGGAATCTTAGAATTCTGCAGAACGCTTCTTTGCCTCTTTTTTCACCCCAGGAGTCGCAGCTGCCAATGCTCTAGCCACATTAAAAAAACTAGGGTGTTGGTCAGTGAAACAAACCAATGCAATGCCAACTGCCCTCTCTAGCTTATTGCTGCATGTGGACTCAGTACGACATGCCACTCTCCAAAACCGTGCAGCTATCCATTTCCTATTACTAGTCCATGGTCGTGGATGTGAAGATGTCAACAGTCTGTGTTGTATGAATTTATCAGACCACTCTAAATCAATCCACAAAAATACTGAAGAACTACATGAACTAGTGGGAAGGCTACAAAAAAAAAATGACTGGAACATTTTTGGAGACTGGTTTAATGGCTTAGGGATGTGGGTGAGATGTTGTTTTATGTTAGGTGCATTTGCTTACTGATCTTCATATGCACCTTACTATGTGTGCCATGTGTGATACAATGTATACAGTGCATGATTGATGAAGCTATAGGCAAGGTAATGGTAGCTGCTCTAGAAAACAAAAAAGGGGGAGATGTCAGGAGAGATAACATGGAAATGAATACTGGGCCTTGGAGCAGGACCCTCAGCCTGAACACAAGTACTGAGAAGCTCCTGCCAAGTTGACCTGGGGAGAAAAAACATGATAAGGAGGGAGAGGGACCCCCAGACACGGGCAAGATGAGCAGGATGTCCTAAGATACGGAGGAAGCAAGAAGTATGCAAGGACTGATAAGAAGAAAGCAAGAAGCATGCAAGGACTGCATGATCAATGTGTGAACACCCCATGTAAGGACATTAAGGGAGTACGCTAAATGTTAGGCAATGGAGTGCTGTTACACTGATAGAAAAATACTGTAACTTTCGAAACGTAAATAAGCAGCCCGCTTGCTGAAATAAAGTGTCTCAGCATCACCCATGATCTGAGTCTGTGCTGTTAGTCGCCACAGATGTATTATCCTTGTGCCATGAAATACTAAGCTTTCCCAGCAATCTTGACATTTTCTAGCATGTGGTTGCTGCAACTATGATTATGATTTGGTTGTTGACTGCATTTCAGTTCAATTCTGAATAGAAACTTCTCAGCCGTTACATTTGCTACAGAAAGTTGTTTGTTAATGTGACTTGTCTTTCTTCCTTTATGAAGGCCGAGACTGTCAGAATTCAGGCCAAGCTTCCCCCTGCACCTCTGAGCAGAGCCCCAGTCCACAGTCTCCCCAGAACAGCTGCTCAGGAAAACCTGCCACTGACCCTAATATGGCTGCACTTAAGGTGTGTGTCCTTTCATTTGAGGTGCTTTTCTTTGCCTTTATAGCTACTTTTATGCCCTGATGTCTGAGCATGGACTAGAGAGTAAGTTGTGCTTCAGGAACAATGGAGGATTTGTGCCTTAGGCTTAGCTTTCGCTGCATCTGTGCTGCTCTGTTCAATTTAAAGAGTCAGACTTCAGTAATCTACCCTGCTCCTCAGGGATGTGTCACCAGAGGGGCCAGGCTTAACTGTACTTCTGCAGGTCCTTATGGTCATGACAGCAGTTTCTGCTGTGCCTCACAGGAGTGTTATGACTGGTCTCAGTTTACTTGGTCAAAGGTTTTAGGCTTAGTTTTCTAAACCATGGCTTTTTGCCATTGTTCTGTTGGGGCTCTTCAGCCTGCAGGGCTCTGGCCATCACTGGAGGGGGAGCTCTTGATCTGCTTAGTTACTTACATGTCTCCAGTGATGCTGTGCTGCTCCACAGAGAAGCAGCTCCACAGACGCTACAAGTTACAGCTGTAAAACACTTCAGGAATTATTGGGGTAAGAACTCCGCAGTCTAGAGATAGCATCCGAAAGCTGGCTGTACCTCATACATGAGCTGACCTTGTCAGAACACTTTCTGTGATGGTATGAGAAACTTACCCACAGAAAACCACCAATGCAGGACAATCAGCTGTAACCCTCTCATTCAGTCTGTTGTGAAAGGGAGTGTTACTTAACTATTTTGCAAGTGCCAACCCCTTTTTGGCTTCTCTGCCTTTGTATACCCTATGAGTTGATGTCAGCTTGATTAATCCCAGAGCAGAAAGGTAAGTTTAAGCACTTGCAGCTTGTGATTGCACGCAGTTCTAGTTCTGTTGCAGAGGAGAATCAGAACCACCCCTTGCTGAGCATGCTGCAAGTTCCTCATAGAAGTTCGCAGTTATTGCTTGGCATAAATGCTCACAATCAGTATTTGCTGCCTGTTCTTGCTGCTAGAGAGCAAGTAAACAAAGGAATAAATTGTGCCAATGGTGGGAAAGTGGCCACTAGATGGAGGAGTGTTCTTAAAAGTCAGGACACTGCAACAAGCTAGGCCTTATAGCCATTTAAACTCACCTGCTTTGACAGTATTGGCTTTGGATGTGTACTGTTAGTAAGTCTTTTGTAAGACAAGAGAGAAACAATGTTGTTTGCCAGTCTCTAGATGTATGTTCTTTTGCTCCTCTGTATTGTTAGACTAAACAGTTCTGTATTGCTAGGTAACATTGTTTTTTGGTTTCACAAAGCATAGAGGGCACTGGACATCTCAGTGCTGCTCCTAAACCTGCATTTTCTGTGGTTTTGGGGAGCCACTTCACTGCTTTATTACATGGTTTTCCGCCATTATAAAATGGGGTGATGGTAAGCTACCATGAAAAGCCTAGTTCTGCCAAGAATGCATTTTCAAAGTACAAACTCCTCATTTTCTTCCAAGGATTTTGGTGGAAATGACTTCTAAGTTTTTAATGCTACAAGTGAAAATTTTAATTCCTGACAAAGCCTTTATCCTCAGGATAAGCCAGAGTTGTGGATTTTTTTTTCTTTTTCTTTTTTATTTTTGTCAGGCTGCCTGTTTATATCAGTAGACATTATGTATGTATTAAGTGTAAATGATATGGACTGTTTTCAGCTTAAAGGCTTCAACAAGATCCTAACTAATTACATGCCTCAAAAATTGGAATTTGACTTCAGAAAAGGAAATTGTGCAGCAATTTTAAATAGGAATATTTACTTTAGGAAGAAAACCTACAGGATTTGGAACTGAATTTAATTTGGAATTAATTTTGGAATTGAATTAATTTTTTGGACACTTCTTTTTAATAACTTGAATCATTATTTGCAAGTTTATGGTCATGTGGCTTTGACTGGGAAGACTATAAATGGCACAATTCATCAGAAATGACACTGAATTTGAATAGCTGAGGTGGTCATAGCAGTAAAACGGTAAAGGAGAACAGCATAGACTGAGCTAATTTTATTTATACAGAATCGAAGAATGAAGCATATTTCAGAACAAAAACGAAGGTTTAATATCAAGATTGGTTTCAGTACTCTGAGCAGCTTGATTTCAGCCAACTCCAAGTCGGTAAGTAACTTGGCAGCACTAAGTTTAATATGGAATGTAAGAAAGAGCCATTCTAAAAAGACTTGTTAATAAATTTAATCTCTTCACTGTTGACTGAGAATGCCATTCAGTCAGTAAAGACACTTGAACTGAGGGACTTGGAAAGGGAAGGGTGATAAATCCATGGCTTATAATCAAAAGTGTGTGAAAGCACTACATATTTTAGACGTTGTTCTTCTGATGCAGCTTCAAACATTGAACAAGTCTTGTCTGATAAGATGCTGCAGCTTTAAAGCCAACAGGGAAAGAAAAAAAACCTGATCTTTGCAATTCTTTCTCTTGGGACCCCAGTAATGAAAATTTTTGTCATGTTTGCAGCATAAGATGGCTTTGCATTTACTGTTATGTCACCTTTCTTCTGACGTACTGGCTCTTTACACCCATTATGGATGGGTTCTGGTCCCCATAGGTAGACTTGAAAAAGCTATGGTCCAGCCAGTATCATAAGCTTATTCTGCCTAAACCATGAGCCAGCCAGAAGCCAGATATGTGCTGTTGGTGTGATGCTGGGCCTGGCTTAGCATACCTTGACATTTGGCCTGAGCTAATATATCCAACTGTGAACACAACTTGTTAGCTTAGGCTTTATGCCATGCTAACCATAGCTGTGCTGTGTTTGGTGAGCCGAGCACACGGCAGAGAAACCTCCTGAGCCTGCAAGTACTGTTGAAACATGTCAGTGAGCCAAAGGAAGAACAAAAGCATCCAGTGAAATTTCTAAAACTTCCTACACTGATGAGATCTCAGTCTCCCAGGAGAAGTCAGGAGCCTGGCCAGTTCAGGTGATTCTGAAAGTCAAAATGACTTTGTCCCAATTAAGGTCATATTCTGGCTACACTAGTTAACTTAGTTCACTAAATTGAAATCAAAATAATTGAAACACAGATTTGTCTGCACAAAAAAATTCTAAATGTCCTTTAAATACCAGTACCTTTTGAAACATGGAAAATATGAAAGCTTATTGTGCAGCATGTTGATATGTTTACTTATTTTTTATAGTTTTATACATTTAGGCCATTAGTTGTCAGAATTTCACTTCCTGATTTGAATAGCCTATTTGAAAGGTAATCAGTTTTGAAAAATCAGCTTTAGTAAACTGTCTGATTATTTTATTTCTCAAGTACAGATTTTTAATTTATTCCTCAAAACTGAAGAGCATTTTTAAAAGGATCTGTGACATTATTTCTGTCTCCGTTGGTGATAGCTAGACCATATTACCTTCTGTTTAATAACTTCAGGTTTCGCAAACTAAATAGTCTATATTGTCAACTTCAAACAATGCTTCTAACAGCACTATAAATCTGTCAACAGATGTAATACTTCCTTCATTACTTAAGTAAGAATTGTAAATGTTTCTAAGAGGATAGGTAATGCAATAAAACATTTTAAATTATTCAAATACTACTTTCAGTAAAGTAGAGAAAATGTATTTTGTGGAAGAAAACAACCACTGCAACCACATTTCTCTGTACTAGTGTGCAAACAGGAGTTGGAGAAGTTAAGAGTTCAGTATTATCTTAAGTGTTTTGTTCTGCCTATCTGTGTGTTTTTGCACACAATGAAGGAAACTTAAGAAAAAGTGCTGAAGGTGCTTTTCTGGGTGTTACAGCAGCTTAAGGGCAAACTCTTCATCTCTCTAGCTTTGTTCCAGAAAGTGAGCTCTATGTTTGTGTTTGGTCTAGATCAGCCATGCAATCACGCTCCAGAAAACAGTAGAATATATCGCTAAACTACAGCAGGAAAGAACACAGATGCAAGAGGAAACCAGGCGCCTTCGGGAAGAAATCGAGGAGCTAAACGCTGCCATCATGTGAGATCTGGGGAGCTTTCTGTAATGAAGCAGAGCAGCTTGAATGTTGCTTTGGCTAACAGTAGGGAATGTTTGCCTCAGGTGTCATGCCAAACAACAGATGGGTATCGAACAGAAGTAGAGTTGCTACCAACTCCCAAACAAAAAGCGTAGCTGCTGTGGGATGGGCATTGGTATCAAACCATGTGGATTTTCAGCAAGCTCTGGGCATGAGTGCACAACAGTGGCAGCATCAGAAAAGATGCATCAGGTCAGCTAGAATAATTCTGAGAAGAAGCCAGTGATGATGCTTTTATAAAGCTTTGCTCACTAGGTGGTCAAACACTCTTCATGATGGCTTTGCTGCAGTTTTCTTTCCAAATGCAGTCAATTTTTATAGAAAAATATGGTTGAGTACAGGACTTGGAATCAAGGAGCTTGCCACTGGCTGAACATAACTCTGATTAAGTCACTTCACCTTCCTGGTGCCTCAGTTTCCTCTGTGAGTTTATGATAGTTATGTTCTATTGCAAAGCATGTTGAGAACCCCGGTGGTTTTTCTTCCATCTGCAGAAGTGTTAGGCTTAGGCATTATGCTAGACTTAATCAGCAAATCAAAATATTTTTCTTTAAAAGTACCGTGACATCTGCTTATTTTGAATTGATCTGTTTCTTAAGCATCTTTGTAACATTTTCTTCTGTAACATTGCTCAGGAGTAACTCCGTAAATTTTTCCTTGACTCCTCATGTGCCTTTTTCTAATTGGATGGCAAAAACTACTTTGTTCTATGTTATACTTTGTTTTCAGTTTTGTTGCTTGTAATAAGGAGTGTGTAGCAGCTTGAGAAATGCTTTGCTGCATGAATATAGACAAAATTGATGAGAAAACATTATGTATTCCTGGCTATAACAATTACATTCTTCTGGGGTCGTGCACTGGGAAGCCACCTCGGTAAGGGATACCGGGGATACGCACTTTTCTCTTGCTATAATTTAGTCTGTAAGAGAAGTGTGTCCTTTTTCTGGTGGGGATTCTGACCTCAGAACATCTTCTTTTCAGTTCTTGTCAACAGCAGCTCCCTGCTACCGGGGTTCCCATAACACGACAAGGATTTGACCACATGAGGAGGATGTTTGATGAATATGTGCGAAGTAGGACCCTGCAGAACTGGAAGTTTTGGATTGTATCCTTTTGTATTAACCTGCTGAACTTGAAGTTTGGTGCTAATATAGTTAGAGCTAAGAACTCTGGGTTTCCATGCTGTGACGTTAAGCCAAGTTATTTAAATAACGCATCCTCAGTTTTCATTAATACTTGTATGTGGATATGAATCCTTGCTTTATAGGCTGTTGTGAGGCAGAACTTGTTCACCTTCAAGTATGGGAGGTAACTTGAAAGTAAAATGCGTTATAAAGGCCTGGTTTTCTCGGTGGGTTATTACACTTCAAGAAATGTTTAATGGGCCGCTTCCGTAACTGTAGCTCTTGTAGTCTTTCGGAAAAACTAAACAGAATAACGAAGATTTTTGGGGGAAAAAAAAAAACCTATTACAAGGTTACTGAAGCTGTTGCAATGGCAGTTTTTAAAAAAAAAATTCTTTTTTTTTTAGTTTTATGCTTGTCATTTGTTATAACAGTGAATCAGCTTAGTTTCTATTTGCTTGTCCAATGCTAGCAGCTGTGCTTGTAAGCGAATGATAATGCAGAAGATAGAAGGACACAAACTGAGTGAACCGTTAGCTGCATTTGTGCTGTGCTGTATAGACTTAACTAGTTTTGATCAAATTTTGTTAGCTTGAATCGGTTCAGGGATATTAGTAATCAACAATGAGCAGTAGTGTTAACCTTTCCTTTTCCTATTAAACTTAATATGTTCATATAGCTATTTATTTGCACTTCATATTTTGTATGTATGTTCTGTGCTGTTATTTCCCCCAAACTACCTGGATAATACGAGTATATATGTGCATTCTTGTGCATGCCGAAGTACAGCATTTTTAATAGTTTGATATGTGAAAGTGCCTTTTTTGATGTTTCGTGGTTTCTGTTGGCCCCAGAAAAACACTCTTCCTTTTAGCATCCTTTCAGGAAACAATTCTTAGCAAGATCACATGCAGTCTTTGATAACTTAGAGCTGGTGCGACTGTGGAACCTCTGGATTCTACTGTTAACTCTGGAACAATTTTAAGTGAATTATGAAAATAGAGGTGTTTAATATAACAATGAGAATGGTTATTTAAAGACAATCCTGCACATTTGCTGATTGGATAGTGTGTTTATTTTGTGCTGCTCCAAGATGTTAAATAGCTCCAGAATCTGGAAGTGAGACACTTCTAGAAATTGGCAGAGGTTATCAGGGATGAAGATACAATTTTAGGTAGCTGGGTTGTTTTAGTTTTTGGGGAAAGACAAAGGCTTTTGTAGTTGGTGGAAGAGAAGGTTGCTAGGCGAAGTAATGTTCCCAAACTTCCCTTTACAAGTCAGGATATAATTGTGACAGAACAGTTTTTTAACAGCTGGATTGAATCCTTAATGGATGCCAACACATTTCAGAGTGTCTTGCAATAAAAGCTGACAAGGTCCAGGGGTGAGTGCTAGTAATAATAATAAAAAATCTCCTCCTCATGAAATGACTGTAAGAGAGAGGAGGGCTTTTTCATTACAAATATGAAAATACCATAATTTCTGTTGCATATAGGAGGGAAATGAGTAATCTGGTCTTGGGCTGCTAGAGATAACTCAAGAATAGAATACTCTTGAATATTAGAATATCAGTAGAATAATACCCATGTTGTTCTTCCAGTCACTCTGTAAAAGTCTGTAAGGGCATGCAAATCCCCCCAGGTATTCTAGGCCTATTGTTAGACCTATATTGATTGTCAGCCGCAGTGAGAATGATGGGGGTGCATGAACTCCTCTTTTGTTGTCTCCCTTAACATTTGATGATTTGTAGTTCAGCATTATTATTAAGCCATTGTTTGAGTCCTTCAATGGGATGGTTTCCACAACAAGCTTTAAGGATCTGAATCAAACTGCAATGGCCTGGTTGGATCAGCACTGTTCTCTTCCTGTTCTGAGGCCAAGTAAGTGGAGTTCTATCCAGCAGTTATTCCATATCACAGAAAGTTAGACCATACATCATACCATTTCTCGAAAGTCAGAGGATGACAAAGAAAGCACACCATGCCAAATATAACTTCCAGTTCCTTTTGTTATCTCAGTGGAAAAATAAGAACCTCTTTTGACTGTGAAGACACTTGGTTGCGTGCTTAACACTGAACAGAAAAGAAAAACGAAATTGCTGAATATAGATACCAGAATTTAAACACTCTCAAGCTGCTTTTAAATTTCAAGTACTCCACTCTAGTTGGAGTAAATTTGGCAGTGTGACTTATCTCATTATGAAGGAAGACTTCTGAGATTTGTATTCAGCTTTGGAATGACCTTCTGTTTGAGCGTGATTGCTTGATCCTTTCTTCCTTGCAACTCAGCAGGTATTTACAGTTACAGTTGCCAAGTGGTACTCTCTTTTGTAGAAGAAATGGGTGGGGTTTTTTAAAGTCCTAGATCTCCATTCCTTGTTTCCTGGGCACAGTTCTTGCTCATCTGTTTAATTGCTGTTGCTGTGTGTGGAGGTGTGCATGTTTTGCAGAAGTATTTCCATAATTTTGTCATGCGTGACAACCTTGCAGTACTTGCACACTATCCCACATGGATCTGTTTGCAGTCAGACTAATGTCTTTTCTTGATACTTTGCTGACATTTTTTTTTACAGTGGTGCTGAACACCCTTCGACATCTAAGTACAACCACCTCAATTCTGTCAGATCCGTCGTGCCTGCCAGAGCAAGCCGCTGAGGCAGTTATCAAGATGAACAAAACAGCTGGCAAAACCTAACAACCAAAGACAATGAGTTGCTTATACAAGGGGTGGAGAACCTGCCAGTCTAGCAGCCTGGCGAGTCTCCTTTCAGTTGGTGCACTTTAGAAAGAATTCTCGCCATCACCTGAGATGTTGTTCAGGGCATCTGGCTCTGCCTTCAGAATATGTGGAAGTATGATGCAACATTGTCATAATGTTTTGATTCCTCTTCAGTGCTGTGCTGTACTCCGTTAAGTGAGAAAACACCAAGCTCAGGTAAATTTAGCAGGTTTGAGTCCTGCAGGCAGCAATATATCTCCATCAATGCAGCATGCATCTATATGCAACAAAGATATTTCTATGAATCAGCTTCAAGTACTAAGTTCTCTGAAGTGTAAATCTTGTACACCAAGGAATGTTCTCTTCAAGGGGAAAAATACTTTTGATTTTGTGAAACAAAATGTGCATTTTATTTTGTTCTCTGGTATTCAGTTCCATTTGTTTTACTTGAATAGTAAAAATTTTTAAACAGGATCATATTAAAAACCAAAGGAGAAGAAAAATCCGTCAATGACGTTAACTCGTGGCAAAAATACTAGAATTAAAATCTCAGGCTGTGTTTTGTGTATTTTTATTTTAATGAGTGTTATCATTGCATATGATCAGTTTCAAGACATGCTTTATTTTCTAGCAAATAAAGTAGCTGATTTTTAGTACTTTTCCTGATATAGCCATTGCAAGTGAGTAAAAGGATGTGCAGAAAGTGAAAGAAAGCAGTTTTAGATTGCACAGATTCTGCAATTGGGATAGATACATGAATTTCATACCCATTTAATCTCTGAAATGTTTTCCTGCACTGTGGAGTTCAGCTGCCTTCCTCATAAAATGTGCACATATAAAACACATCCATAGATAAATGTAGTAGTGCTTCAGAGACAATAATTGAGTTTGTAATGTTAAGAAATTGGCTTTTTTTGTTAACTCAGTAACCATCAAACCACGTGGACTTGTAGTCAGTTCTTTGCTTCTTCATCTTTTTTGCTTTCTTTTTGCCTTCTATCGGAAAAACCTGAAGGACTTAGCTAATTTTGGTCTGTATGGGAAGGCTATGTTCAGCATGAATTATAAAACATATAAAAATATGTTTAAAACCCCAAATACTGCGTAACATTTTCCTGTGACAGTCTCAGCAAGTACTGTGCTCTGCTGCAGATAAACTTAGTCTCATTACAGCAGTGATTGTTCATCCTGAGGCAGCACTGGGATATTCATTCCGGCTGATTGTAATCTGGAATGATCCTATGACCGTTGTAATTCCACTCATTACTTGATTCTGATTCTTAAGAGCTATGCAAACTGTGGGTAATATTTGCCTGGTACCTCTCCTGTGTAGATAATTTCCAGTTTCAAAAGCAGGCTGCCTGGAGGTGATTAGGAGGCTATCACAGTGCTAAAAAGAGGAGCAGCTAAAACATTTGGGCATTGCACATGCTGAAATGGGATCAGTACCTTCTCCTCCATGGGATGTAGTTTTTCCCCAGTTGTCACCAGTCTTCTCCACTTGGTGAGCCAAAGAAGAAACACTAGGCTTGGGGAGTGGGACTAAGCACAAGGATTTTTCTTTCTTCTTTGTCCTGAGATTTTGCAGCTAATGGTTTTCATTGCAGAGTTTGCTTATATGTGAGCAGGACTGTAGCAAGAAGAAAGCATGAAAAGTTAAACCCCGGGCCCTCTCCCCAAGCAGAGGTACTGTGAGTTGAGGAATTGGGGGCTGAAGGGGACTGCTGCGGGGAAAAGGAACCTAAGAGGAAGACAAACTGGCATGATCTAAGTACCAACATGCCTTTCTGTAGCTGTGCAGACAAATGAGGAGATGCTCTTTTTTTTCGTTTGTTTGCTTTTTTTGTTTTTTAACAGTAGATCTGACGTATCATTTGAGGTTTCTGGCACGTTTGAAAACCTGTGTCCCTCTGAGAGAACCAACAAAAATCCAGGTCTCAGCTAAGGAATGGTTTGTTGAAATAGTGTGTAAAGGTTGTCATAGTAATTAAATAGCAAGTAGATTTTCGGGGGGGATCTGTATCTAGGTCTGTCGTACATAATAATGTAATAGATTAAGCAATATTCTTTGGGATGCATCTGGATAAAGTGTTGAATAAGTGTAATTTTTTTTTTTTAAATCCTCCCATTTTTATCACTGATTGTGAACTTGATTCCAGTAACGTCATTTAACACTGTGATTAGCTGGGGAGCGTCCCTCAAGTTCTTTCTTTACAGGGTTATCTCATTGAGATGCATAGATAACTACATGCGTATTTGCATGTTAAAAATATGTATCCGGTTTTATAGAAAGAAATCAGTTGTCAAATTATCCAAGAACAGACCCACTTGTGTTTTTGCTGTACTTTTCAGATGAACAGATTCTGCAATGCCTCCCCTGCAGTGTGGTCTTCTGCTTGTCAGGCAGTGATTGTGTTTGATTTTTACCATTACCAGTATCAATGACATTAAAGTTTTGTCTCAACAAGCAGCGTGCACTATAAGCATCCTTCAAAGCCCAGGGAAGTCTGATGTCTTCTAAGCTTAAATCCTAACATCTCAGATCTCACTGTGTGGATTGGAAACTGAAAAGGACCATAAAGGAATAGGAAGGGGTAGTGTGACTGAACTGCTAAAAGTTTTGTCCATTAGCGGTTTTTATCAGGATGTGTATGGAAGAAACATCATGCTCATTGCACCACGATCTGGTTATAGTGGGAGGGAAATTGCTTATTTTAATAACCTGCGGTGGATAAACAAGCTCATGGCTCTAATAGAAGACTACAAATCTTAACATAGTAAAGAGAAAAAAATTAAATTAAAGATTGCTTACTTAGGCAAGAGTGTAGGAGGGAGGGAAGGAAAAGTGAAAAGATACTTTCCACGTAGTGCAATTACCAGAAATGATGTGGCTGCTCTTTGAAGCAGTGATTCAGTGTATTTTTGTCACCCTATTATTGCAAATCAGAATTCTTTTCTTTTATCAGTCAACCTTGTGAGTGGTGTGATTTCACTTCATTTGGAAACACAAGAGGAAAAAGCAGTATTATGTCTCATGTCTGCACAGTAGAAGTACTGAGGATTGGTGTGAAAAGAGATTGACCACGTATGTATTAATTCCTGCATAGTTTTTCACTTTAGTTTATATTTTAACTCCTTTGTCTTGCCCATTGAGGAGTCTAAATAATATATTTGTTTCAAAAAGAAGTTTGATAACACTTTCTCTCCTAATTTAAGCAGTTTAATTTCCTCAGTGTCACCAAAGTATACTTAAGCAAACAAAACACATGGTGCCTATACTCTGCACAGAATTACAGATGATGCACATCTGTCTTCAGTAAATTGGTGCTAAACTTTTAAAGAATCACCATATAATTGAATACAAGTCATATTCAGTCATATCCAACATATTTCAGTCAATAAGGCAGTGGCTAGATTAAATATAAGTCAAACTGAGATTGTCTAGTGGCTCCTTCTGACCTTGAATTCTATTTTTCAGTACATTGTAGATGTGGCCCCTCTACCAAACACAGGTTCCGGAGAACTTGTGCATTATTTGGTGTAGTTGTAGTTATTAGGCTTGTATGATGCTTCCTGTTAGCAGGAGGAATAAGTGATGGAAGTCCAGGAGCAAACTAGAATTGAAGGAATCAGTGAGTAGTGGGAACAGAGACAAGTGCATGTTTCAGCTTGACAGTCTGATCTTTGCAAAAAACCAAAGGTTTCTTCATGGATACCATTTGACCTGACTGGCATGTTCTTCCATGATTTTCTAGACTCCTCGGGAAGCCTTCCTTGAAGGGAGACTTAATAGAATGTTTCCATCTGTGCCTTAGATCGTGACGTCCTGTATGCGTTTGATTTATCTCAAGTCATACATTCTTCCCCTAATACAGTGCTATGTGGAAAATTTAATGAATTGACAAAGTGGGGCTTCCCTGGGTTTTAAGAGGTTTTTATCTGTGTGGCATTACTGTGTCCCTTTGAAACTGAGGTGATGAAAAATTGTGTGTATCTATGGAAAAAATTGCATCTTTCCTGCTGACTTCACCATCCTCCACTCCCATGTGCACAAGCACGTACTCACACATGTACATACTATTGTACCAGAACTTTGACAGAAACCCAGTAAATATGCAGATGCTTAAATCTCTAAATCTGGAATGGCTTGAAAGACAAAGGGCTGTCAAATTGCATTGAAAAATAGCATCTTCAGGTTCTTTTACATTCCCTTGAGAGAGAGAGAGAGAGAGAGTGTGTGTGTGTATGCATGTGTGTGTTGTAGAGGTGACAGGGGCAGGTAAATTTTGATTTGTTTGCTTTTAAAGCCCCAAACTCCTGAAGAGCAGTTTGAGAGCAGGAGAGGGAAGCTCACTGCAAAAACATTCAGTAAGATAATGCTTTTGTAGCATAATTTGAAAGCTATTTTACTTTCTGTGTTTCTGGAGTGGATAATTCTTGTCTTGATGTTGCCAACTAGAAGATACTGCTGAAAATAGAGTGGGTTCTTAACTATTTGACGATTTACTTACTTTCTTTCTTTTTTGGTTCCTTTCCACCTTTGTTGCATGGAAAAACACCCAAAATCAAAAGGCTGATGATACCTGGTTTAGGTGCTTTAGGGATTCAGTCATACCAATCTCAGAGGACTATGGACAACTGTTGATGACTTCTGGGAGGTTTTTTAAGTGAGACAATGGGAGTTTTCCTATTACTTCTCCTCAATTTATACACTTGAGTTTCAGAAGAGATAATTTGGTTTGGGTTTTTTTCTCTTGTAGGGCCCCAGTATTGTTCCCACAACATCGGTTAAGGCCTCAAGTTTCCTTTTGTTTCATTCTTGGTTGGATTTCATGCCCATTTACTGTGTTGGAGCAGAAGTGGTAGTACCAAATTGTAGCTTGATCCGCAAAACTTGATTCAGTTACAAAGAAATACATCTTAGGTTTATAATAGAATTACTTTCTAGCCATTGTCTGAACTGCTTTTATATCTGAACTTTTCCACACGAATAAGGTTTTGAATCAAAATATATCAATGTTAGGAGCAAGCCTTTTAATTAACAATACCATTAATAAATTGCTCTTTTTCTTCTTCTAACCTTGTATTTAAATGTGTTTTAAGTGAATGGAGTTCATTCTTGTTAAAAAAAAAAAAGTCAAAAAAAAAAGCTTGGAGGTATGAGGACTTCAGATCGTGCTCTTGTTTTGCCTAGGTTTCCTGTTCTGTTGCATGACACAACTTCTGTTGTGCTGTTGATATGTAGCACTTTTCAGTAGGTCTGTTAAATTGTGCAATGCATTTTTTTATATTTACAACCAAAACAATAAAGGTTATTTTTTGGAAGAAACTGGTTTTAATGCTTTTATTTTCTAACTGGATGTGGGAAATGGTAAGTGGAGTTGTTCCTGGACCAGCATCTGCCATCCTTTTTGCAGCTCTGACAGGTGGCAAGGGCTCATTTCCCTGTTAGCAATGCTGAAGTTACACCTTTGAGATCTGTGTGTTTGCCTTTCTCATTGCAAGGCTTATATCCTCTGTTGAGCTTCTGAAGCTTGGACTCCTTTTAAGAAACTCAGTGCTCTTCTTGACTGAAAGAATCAACTCACTCTGAGCTTACAAGTGATTTCTTTTTCGCATGCATTGGCCATTAGGCTGAATTTGCTCTGTGCTGGCTTGTTCCCTGTCTCACCACAATAAATGCCAGCCAGATTAGCAAAAATTGAAAATTACCCTCTGTAGTCAACTCTGTTCCCCTTCACTGAATCATCTTGGAGACTGGGAATTGCCAGGTGGGCTGAAGTACCATCCCCACAAGTCCAGGTGTCTGCAGAGTGTACGTGATTCTTCACCCTAAACAAACAGTGAGCCTGCTCTTTCACATTCTGTATAACATAATTTTCCAAAGGTATTGAGATTCTGATGTGTTCCTAAAGTGATCAGACCCTTACTCTACTGTTAATCATATTAAACATAACAGTGAGAGTAAGCTCTTTTGACAAAACTAAGCAGACAAACAACTATTTATTTCTGCATGTGCTCCTAACAGGCTGGTAATTCAAAGGTAGCCCTGGTATTTCTCCAAGAAAGGTAAAACTCTTAAGCCTGTAGAGGCTACACCAGTGCCTTGAGCCCTGATGGTTTTATTTTCTTGCAGGTTTGGATTTGGGGCTCGTGTCTGACACACACTGCTTAGACAATGGACTCCACAGAGCAGTACTGAGATTGGATAACACGGTATTCCCATGGAATTGATGTCAGTGTTAGGCGTTGAGCTGTTTAAGACCATTTAAAAAAATTAAACAAATAGCATTTCATCTCTGCTTTTAATGACCGATATTTGTTTTTCCCTGGTAGGACACTTCAGCTCTCTGTGCTTCAGTTGTCACCTCCTTGGTATATTGGATTTCCTTGCCTAGTGGAAGCAGCACTGGGTGACTGAGTGAAAGGTAATAGATGAGTGAAAAGAGGGATTTTATTTTAAAATTATTGCACAAGAGTTGATGCTGGTTACTCTCATCCTTGTGATCGGTGGCTTTGACTTAATATAGCTTATGAGAACTTTTGATGAGTCAGGCCTGTGGTTCCAGAAGAAGGTATAACAGTTTTCTTACTCTGTTTGCATTTAATTTTTAAAGTATCTTTTGCTTAATCTCACATAAAGCATTTTGGTAGAAGGCAGTGTTTCTTCACTACTATTTAAACAGTGATAAAGCAACACTTCAGCCTAACTTTACTCTTGACCAAGCATACAGATGCCAATGTTACTGCAGTGATGCTATCAAGCTTCTTTGGGAGGAAGCTGTGGCTGGAGAGCACTGTTTCTTTACTACTGATTTTGTGGTGATTTCAGTGAGGGTGGTATAGCTGTAGCTGATATGCCAAAAGACAGTTATTGAAATGGCTTATTTTTGTGGCTGATTCCGCTGAACAGTGCTAAAAGTGGACCTACATCTGCTCTATGGAAATTATGCCAAATGAAATCACTGCTGCAAGGGAATTGGCATTTCAATGGGCAAACAACTTAGGGTTCTCTTTATATGTAAAAGAGTGGGAAGTGATGCTCACTAGATTTTAACCTCAGGAGCTCTTCTATGCCTTTTCTCCTCCTGAGCATGCTCATCACCAGGAGGTGGGCAGACAATGAATAGTTGGGTCTTGGGGAAGTTCCCGCATGCAAGCACAGAAGAGTCCATGTTGTCATCCAGAGGGATGTTTAACATATTCCTATCTCGAAACAAGGTGTGTTTCACAAACTCCAGTGCCTTTCCATCACAAAAAATGGAAACAAACTGACAAAAGATTAGACTCATCACGTCCCTTAGTCCTGCTGCTGCCTGTCCTTTTGACACTTCTTACAAAGCCCCTCTGTGACTCCTCCAACTCAACTGTAAATTCCTCATAGGCCTTGAAAGCCAACAGTTTCATTTTCAATCAGGATAAATGGGGAACTGCTTGTCAAGAAAGCTTTGCTGGTGACCACCTCATCATGACAGCAGGGATGCACCATGTGGCGCAGGTGCATCCACTGACTTCCAGCCCTTCAGAGCTGAGGAAGATTTATCTGATCCCTGACAATCCTGCACCAGGAAAGCTACAGATCTGCAGATGTTCTTGCACTGTTCTGTCTGGGGTTTGCAGCCTTCTCCTGTTGGGAGGACTGACTTCTCTTGACTTGTCTGAGCCTTTCTCTTTATGAATGTTCAGGTCATCTTTTGAGAATCTCTGGGCTTCAGGATGAGCTTTTGAGCACTCTGCCTCGAGCATGGGCAGCAGGGATCCTGGGAATCTCTTGCAAAAGAAGCCACACAACCACCTCTGCATTACAGCAAGTGTTGACTCTCAAGTCTTCTCTTTACTTTGCAGACCAAGCTCAGTCATCCAACATGTGACTCTAAACTGTTTAATATCTCTTCCTTTTCTGAAGCTGGCCCATTCTCTCAGAGAAGTGGGAAAAGCTTTTCAAAGAAGCCTCTACACCTGCCCATGGTTGGCAGAGAACCAGCTGTATTGGATAGATGACAGACATCCATAGGCTGCCTACAGATCCTAAATAAACTCTGAAAACATCAGTGGCTATTTGCTGTAGGATCTTGCGGAAATGAGCATAATGCAGATGTTGGAAGTGCTTTAGTGATACAGTTGTGTCACTCTTTGCATCAGATTATCACTGATGTCATTGTTTCTATCTCGCCTACCCAGGCACACACTCACATTCTCATTCCAGCTCCTCGGTGGGTTTCTGGTCATCACTTTCTGACCTCAGCCCTTTGAAGTTTGATGTTCTGGTATCAGCCAGCCTATCTACCTTGCTGCATCCCAAATGCTTGTGGCAAAGAACTATTCCCTTTCAAGCACATGTGAGGAGAACAGTGGCTTGCCACAGTTTTGCGTAAGCCCGTGTCTCCCTACTTCAAGCGTGCATCCCGCGTGCATGAGGTGAGCTGAGTCTGCAGGGCTGGTGGTACCCTTCTCTGCCCCCATGGGACTTTTCTTTTTTCAGGTTGTTCTTCCCGTGACGTGAATTGGGACAGACCATCTGACTCACTGTAACATCTTGCTTGAACTTCTGAGGAAATCTGTTTCCAAGGAAAACACTTTCATTTAGATATTTACATATTCAGAAGGTGAAAGAAAAGATGTGCATGAGAGAGAAAACCACAGGGAGTGGCCTTGTATAATCCTCTGGTTCAGCAAGGTTTAAGCGGTTTGTGTCAACCATTGGAAATGGTGATGTCTAAGCCCTCAGGATGTAAATATCTTCCTGCTTGTAGTGGTTTGCTGACCCTACCTGATAAGGTCATCAGATGTTGCTTCTGCCTTGGGGATAAGCACATCCCCAGTCAGTGATCCTTTGCCATTTGCTCTTCTTTCTCTATTAAAAATTGAAGATATGAGGTTGGAATTGTGGCTTTTGGACTCTGGAAAAATTGGTAGACCTGGAACTAAGCAGAATAATTTGAAAGAGTGCCCCAGCCACCAGTTTGTCTCTGCTTCCCACAGGGGTTAGCACTGATATTTCCAGGACTGGCAGTTGACTTTATGATGCAGAAGACCTGAGCAAATACGCACCTTTGGACTCACTGTGCTTGCATAGAGCTCACACAGGTCAAAGAGGTAGTTTATTAAAATGTTCTTTAAATTCAAGGTGTGCCGGTATGACGCTAACAAAGAGCTGTGCTACTTGTGTTAATATCAGAAACCAGGGTAATGGTCTCGGATCTGTCCGCACCCTTCTGCCTGTCACTATGTGACGTCTCCATAGTGGTGTCTGAAATGGGTTCCATTTGGGAGGAATTCTTCCCCTGGCTCCAGCAAGGAGCTTGGTCCCTCTGTTCCTCTTGGGAAACTAGAACGCTTTTCTAGGAACCCCCCAGACTGGTGCTTTTTGGGGACTGGCAGTGACTCATCTGATGTCAAGATACCACTCTTCCTGGAGAAGTCTGGGCACAACAGGGCCAGTTCTCCGGCAGCAGGAGGAAGGAGAGCTGCGTCAGCACTGATGGCACCGGCTTGAAGAACCACCACAGCAGAAGGGTGACTTGGGCACTGATGTGTTTTGCGTTGAGGGGATTTGAAATGAGGATGGAGGCAATGAACCAGTACTAGAATCCCTCGCTCCAGCTCCTCTTGTGCTTTTCACAGCCTCGTAGAGAAGGAGCACTGGGGCGCAGGGGCTCAATCTAGCTGCGATTCCCTAATCTAATCCCTGCAAATCTAGCACAAATCTGAAGACTCTTGAGCAAAGTCAACCCTGCCCTGGGTTGTGTGCTGGTGTGGACCCCCATAAATGAACATGGGGGATGGCAGCAGAAAGAGAAATAATCCTTTACTTGTGTTTTAAGCGGGCATTTCAAGTCTTTTTTTTTTTTTTTTATGTAGATAAATAATGTTAATTTTTGGAACTGATGTTTTTAATAGCTAAATAATGTTAATTTTTGAACTGATTCTAATGCTTAGGCTGGCTTGAACTTTATATGGTAATTTAGACTAAAATAGTTGTATTATTACTAATGTTCCCATTATTTGGGATAATTGGGAGTTCATAGGAAATAAAGGAAATACAAGTATATGACAAGTCCTACTGCTTCTAGACCATTTGAGCATCTTTGCTCTGTTACCAGCTCCAGGAGAGGAAATTAGCTCAGCCATGTTTTGGTGTGCTGGTTGTATCTGAGCTAATCCAGAGTGTTTCCAGCAAAGCTGGTGTTGGCTGTGAACCGTGTAAACTTGCAGATCTAAACCAGACTCTGGAGCTGTGTTACAGAAGCTGCAATTATTTAACCTGCAGAAGTGGGGGCTGATTAGAAAACAATTTACCTGCTGGTGGATCTAAATGAGAAACCAAAA